CCAAAAAAACCCAAAAAAAAAAAAAAAATATATATATATATATATATATATATATATATATATATATATATATATATATATATATATATATATATATATATTTTTTTTTTTTTTAAATTGAGTAATTTTATATATATATATATGAGAAAACACACCTTCCTATACACAGTTGCTATGATGGCCGAACGCGCCCTTAGCCCAACTCTCAAGCAAATTCGGTTGTAGTTTTGATTGAGCAGAGAACGGATCATGCTGACTAAGAACATCGCCACGGCTAACAAGTAACCCCGCCACGTGAGCGGGTCGCCAGTTTCTACGAAGGTAATCAGCAGACTGAAAGGTGGAATGTTATAATTCATTTATTAGTCTCTTATTTCTTAAAAACCAATATCATTGGTCTCATCAAATTTATTTTAAAATGTACCGTATGTTTCTAATCAATATACATTTTCAATTTGCCATTATGCAGGTCAGGTCTACCAAAAAACAAAATAACAATACCCTTTAGATTAATTTAGTTCATTTTTCCACATCTTGGCCTGACAATTAGTCCATCTAAGTCCTTAATAGAGGCTAACCAAGACCTGTTTTCTAATTGTTTTGTGACAGTACCTTAGCAGCATTGGATTGACGAACGTGACAGCATCAAACAACAGTCGGAGCAGTGCGGCCATAGCGTAGTAAGGTCCAAACGTCCGTAGTAGAGCCATCAGTAAACTAGGCTCTCCACGTGTGGACGCAATCGTTGTCTCCACCTTCAGACTATCAGTTGGGGTTGTCGTGGCAGAAGGGATCCCGTTCCCCATCTGGTGGTAGCTCTGGTATCCGTTGGGAGTGCTGCCGTAGTCGTGACTTGCAGTGAAATGGACGGCTGAGTTACTGCTTATAAGAATATGACATAAAAGTCATTGTAATGAGGACTGTTCAAAATACACAAACGAGACAAAAAATACTCTAAAAATATTTCAAAAAAGCTGATGGGACATTAGTTAAGACTAATTCGCGAGAAAGCTAGATACCGACCTCGTTTTCTTTTTCTCTTTTCTCCATTCTCTCAGAAATTTTGGAAGAATGACGTCACACGAGTCTTCAGGAAGCAGTCTGAACATATCAGCAAACACCAGAGTCTGCTTGTATCCCTTGATAACCAGCCTGGGAAGAGACCACGCGTTGATTTTTTAAAAAGTATGATAGATTAATGTTGGGCACACAGCATTTTTAAATGTATCTGTGCAAAATCTATAATTCCAACAAATAATTTTTGCTTTGCTTTGTTTTGTTTTCAAATTTAAAATGAGAAGTCTAAGGTTTCGAAGTCCGAGTATGTCTTTACAACAGTCTGATATCGGAAATCAAATTATGAATCATGTGAAGCTTATACTGACTTTGTTATCCACCAGTATGAGATTCGGTTTAAAAAGGACGCACTCCTCTCTGGTGTCATTTCCTGAAACGAAAGTCCAGATTACAATGATACGAATACACAATTACTGAATCCGTCATGTCAACGACTGCCCTTAATACTATTTGTTTGTCTTAAAACTCCGCGCACTGTTATATTTAAATTTTTTAACGTATTTTATACCCTTTAGAAGCTTAAAGGTTAACAACTGAAAAAAAAACTACTTAATAAAAGATGAAAAGGTATGAGCTCATTTATCTCTAAAATAATAGTTTTTTATATAGGGCCCTACCATGTTGTCACTTGATTTTTTGGTTGGTCTAGTTTTTGCCAAAATTGGCTGTTTTTCGGACAACTCTCCCCAGTCAGGTGTGCTTTCTGGCAGCGCTTTGGGATCCGCCCACAGGTGCAAAATGAACTCAAGCACGATACAGGTGTAATGAGCGCAGAACGTCACCAAGGAAAATATGCTGTCTAGATCCTGGGATGAAACAAATATTTTCGTTATTTTAGGTTTCTTAAAGTAGACGTAGCAGTATCTAAATTGATAGAAGCTGTATGGAGTGAAGGCCCTGTGAAGACCCTTTGAGTCCTTTACGTAGAATCTGACATGCATATGATTATCTCATCTTTGAGTCAATTGTCATAATGTATCGACCGGATGGCCTTGTGGTTAGAGTGTCCGCCTCCGGAGCGGGAGGACGTGGGTTCAAATCCCGTCCGGGGACATACCAGTCCTTTATAAACGGTACCTGCTGTCTCCCCGCTTGGCACTCAGCATAAAGGGGTTGAAGCAGGGGCCTGGTCAGGCAGGGTAGAAATGTTATATTAGCTATGAGCGCCTTATATGGCAGCCGAGCTGTATGCTCCCCAGGGAGGTGAGACCGCCTACGGAGTGCACCAGTGCAAAAATGACCAGGCTTCCTTGACTTAAATATTCATATATGTAATTGTATAACTTCAACCTTCGGGTTGCGATTTCTCCAATAAAGATTATTATTGTTATTATATAATTCGTTTGAAATATTTCTTCAAAAAGATTTAAGAGTTATTTTTCGTCACGTATTACAAAAGCCTGGTGACAGAAGGAACTTAATACGTGGCTATAAACACACATAAATAAATATATACATCAAAATCGGTATGTGATTACTCACCTGAGTTTGCACCTGTATTATTTTAGATCTTAGTGACACACCCCCTAGTAGGAGAAGTATGGACCAGAAGATGAACAACATGGCTGAGGACACCTCGCCTTTCTTAAACTCGTACGTGATCAAAAACGACGACATTCCCTTCAATATAAATGCAAAATTTTAAACAGAAAATTTAGGTTTTATGCATCAAAAAGACATTTAGGCCTTAAATATAAAAGGCAATAATCGAACATATAATATCATTTACTAACTTTACTCTCATTGGCGTACTCCCCTCCCCAGGATCATTTGGAATGGGTAGTTCATGCACCGTTGAATTGTACTGTGACCAAAGAAGGCAGACCAACTCCCCCCTCCCCCCCCAAAAAATGGTTTATTTATCTCCTATTCACTCTTTTCACTCCTTATTACACCTCACCTATATTGACATCCTATATGTTCTTTGCCTTGCCCAACACATATAGCGAATATTTAATATGGAACGTTAACTACGTGAGCTAGGTCAAAGACAAAGACGTCGACATTGCACACAAGCAGGTATGCTAGAGAATTTAACTCTGACCAAAGATGCAAAAGCCAGCCTTATAGGTACCAGAAATGCTATATGCAGAACGCCAATGTAAAAATAGATGCAAATAGACTTACAAATGTGATAGCATATATGGCAGGTGCGATGAAGGCGGATGGTGGTGTGTGATGTGTAGGTATCTCACTGATGGTCTTAAGCAAATTCAAAATGGAGATCAGGCATAGCAAAATGCTGAGGATCTGGAATACAAAAGTGCAGTACTTGAGGTCTATGTGAGTGTATTTAACATAAAAAAGAGCTCTTGCTGTCGTTTGAAAAAAAATTATCATTATTTATTTTATTTAGGCAGAAATAAGATTTAAATATACAAATAGTCAATGCATTATCATCAGCAATATACATTTTCGCTTATATACTACTATTTGCCAGTTTTCATGTACACTGTATCTATCAATTACGATATTCAAAGTAGGCTCATAGGAGAAAAAAATGCCTTTCACTAACCATTTTAGCCAAGTTTAATTTCCCGGCGTCGCGTATCCTGTGCACGGTGGGTTTAGATGATAAAACTGGGATAAAAAAGAGGGCAAACAACCAGAAAATCCCACAGGACACCCACACAAACACTGTGTCCTGGAAACATTGTGTGACGTCAGGATTACTGGTGTTCACTGTCAAACTCCAACTCTGTAAGGAGACAATATATAACATCAAGTATGGCGTCATATGTGACATGATGGCGCCATGCAGAAGTACGTTATTTACAAACTGTATACAACTGTATATTACAATTATCATATTATATGTCGATATATACATGTATATCACTTTGTGAATACACAGAAACATTTGGTAGCTAGCAGTTAACTAGAATGTTTCATGTCTGAGCGACCGAACAAAAATTCTGATCCACATCGTGCATGCAGTAAGGCTTAGCATGTTACATCACAAGAGAGTTATGTGTGAGATAATACACTGTCACCCGAGCGATATATGCCATAACACCTCGAGCGTCAGCGAGAGGTGTTCATGGCATATATCGCGAGAGGGTGACAGTGTATTATTTGACATACATACCGAGAACAAACATAGTCAATTCATCTTAAAACACCCCTAAAATCGAATAAAGTGACCCTATATCACGCTCTAGAGATGTTATACGGAATAAACTCGTCCACGTGGTCACCTCCCGCCAAATTCTTACGTAATGTCTGACCAATTTGGTCAATTTTTGCTAAATACTTGTCGTGGACGTTCAACTGGCTTGAAAAGTATTTAATCAACCGTCGACACTGACCATGCGCGTCTCAGCTGAGCCACACCTAGCTGGGACTGCTGAGGAAAAAAGGTCCCAAGGCAAAACCTCTACGTTTTAGTGACATTTCAGATAATCAAGGAGCGTCGGACCGGAATATAATTTTTCACAAGTGCAAGGGAGAAAGAGATTTACTTTTTGGTGATATTTCTGACAACGAGGCAGTTTCGGAATATGGTCAAAATCAGACGGATGTTTGTTACAAGTTCACGGGAATAATAATTCTAGTTTTTATTGTTATTTCTGACGACGAGGCGGTTACGGAATATAGTCAAAATCAAACGGATGTTTATTTCAAGTCCACAGGAGTAACAATTCTACGTTTTGGTGACATTTCTTACTACAAGGCGGTTCGGAATATACATGTGCTGGTTTTCAGAGCATTTATGTGCTACATGTAATTACAAGTTCAAAGGGGAATATATTTGATTTTAACCGCTTTATCTGATAAAGAAGAAGAATGAACAGCTTAAAAACAAAAGGTAAATAGCACAACCCTCGTTAAAAAGTTATAGATTTACAAATAATTTGTACATGTATGCACGTGTGGCTTAAATGTAAACGAATTTCCTTTTTCAAAAAATACCCATATGATATGACTTAGTGTAATAAAATTATAAATAATAATTGTTAAACGTTAAAAGTTTATGCTAATTTTTTAAGAGTGTGAGAGATTTTAAATTTGTCTAATGGTAGGTGTATAACGCAAGCAACGTCACTATTCTCTTGATGCCAAAATGGTCACATGATCACTCTGTCTTTGACTTTCAGCATTTAAGAGACCTCGACTGATTTAACCAAGATGTAGTCGTGAAATTCTAGACTACATCGAGGTTAAATCCGAGTTCTCCGAGAGACGCTACGCAGAAATGTCGAGTGAAGCGAGATATTTTTGGGTAGTGGCTCGAGGTTGCCCTCGATCTTCACTGAAGCTTGGCTAAATGGACAGGCTTCAGTGATCATCATATCGCCACGGTCATATAACATCCCTAGGTATGTATTGTTAATCAAATCATAGATATGAATTCCTCACCCAAAACGCTCTGTATCTTGATCCATTTCCACAGAAACCTGACCAGTACGTATCCTCCATGTGAAAATGTCCAGTTATTTTTTCTAACGAATCTATCATACTAGTACAGTCAGCACGTCTACTCAGTAAAGTGATATGACCGGTTTCATGGTCTTGCTATCAGCACTTCTAATTTCACTTAAAGCTCACTGCTTTATCAATGAACCTTAAGCACATGTAGGTCCCATGCTTTCTTATCAGCCTGTAGAATGATTGGCTGAAGAAATGCATATTTACGTTCATTGCTTAAAAGTGACCTAGATTACACTGTGTTGTGCAACTGTGTAAACATAACACCGGAACTGGTGCCCTTTTTTTCACTGCTGATATAGATCATACATTTCACTTTCTTGTGCAATAAAGTCAATAAAAAAAAGATACTGATGCTGCAATGCAATTAAGTTTATAAGACAGATTTTTTCTCATGTTGGTTTATTTATCTTTTACACTCAACTTAAATAATTCAGTTCACGATTTGCTTTTTTTTTTGCATCTTTTTTTTTTTTTGTCATTGCTCTCTTTCTCTCTCTCTCTCTCTCATATTATTAAACATCACTATCTGATGGGGAATGCTTTATCATAACAGATGTGTGGTTCAAAGTGGAAGAGTTGTGCAAAAACCTTATTATATACATGTAGCTTCTTCTTTGCTCCATCAAATGTTTCCAAATAGTGTGGGGGTCATTCCATATCAACTCATCCAGCGAGGGTACCCTCCGTCAAGAAAGTTGCTGATTTTCACGTATTTTGTAGATATTCTAGGGACTAGAAAAAACCTAAAATTTTAGATTGAGATCTCAACTGGTTTCAGAGTTATGACACTCCAAAGTTGGACCCAGCTGAGGGCTTGCTGTGCCTCACATGAATCTAGGTCATGGTGACCTAGTTAAGAAATACTCTATAACAATAGTTCTTCATATCCCATTGCTTTGTAGCTTTCATGACTTCATATTTTAATATTTCAGGAATCCAACTATCACACTGAAAATGGTCTGGCATATTTAAAACGCACTTAATTTTTACTTTGAAAAATCCTTGTCATTCTTTCAAAATGAAAGACACCCCACCCTTTTAAGCTAATTTTTCTCAATGTCTCCAAATGGACAGGTGTTTTTGCTTTATCTCATATTAAAGAGGAGGCTTTGAACTAAAAAGTGAAAGTGTTAAATCAATTTGTATATTTTGGAGACAAAAGTAATAAAACATTTAAAGAAAATATGTGATATGGGCTATTGCATGGTCACTGATCCAGAACAATTTACTATCAAACACCCAAATTTAGAAATTTCTACATTAATTTACATGTTATCTTTCAGAATATATTTTCTATGATGTTGTTATACTATAAAATATTTTTTGATGTGAGTGAAATTGCTTTAATATAGATATTGTTTTAATTACTGACATCCCACCAATAGACCAGTTTTCATGCCTCCATCCAGATACTTACTTGTTGTATCTGGTCATTTCAATGATATTTACAACCTAAATAAATAACCATATCATGCATATGCCCCAAAACTTATTGTTTTATTATAATGTACATGTTTATCTATTCATTTATATGTCAAAATAGTTTCATGTATATACAGAATGCATTGTACAACTATTAGTAATACATGTACTCAGTATTTTCAAGGTAACATTTTATCTTACATAACCTAAAAAATTAAGATTTTTCCATAATAACTATTTTTTAGTAAAAGATGATTAAAAAATCTATGATACATGATATGAAAAGAACTTCTCACAAATTTTCCTTTGGCCACCCTGCATAATATTATATTATATGATATGCCAGTGACAGGAACAGGGATGATAATTTTGCAAAGTATAGCAGTTACTGGCACCCAGCAAATGTTTGCTGGCCAAAGAAAAGTCTGGGTGAGTAGATTATGTAAGATAAAATGTTATCCTTAGAATACATTTAATGTAAATAGTTATACAAAGCATTCTGCATATCACCCAAACCCAGGCCCGTAGCCGGGGTGGGGGGGGTGGGGGGGGGGGTGTTCGAAAGAACCACCCTTTTTGCTGGGAAAAGGTCCACTTTGGGTAAAATTTGAACTATGTACTTGAGGATTTTATGGTAAAAGGTCCACTTTTTTAGAAAATGACCCCCCCCCCCTCTGAAATGCTGGCTACGGGCCTGCCCAAACCTAATATAGAGGTGAATGCTGTGGTATAAAAAATATCACTAAATGAATTTTGAAATTGTAATCAATTTTTATTGTTTGAAATAGCTCTGTTATGCCAGACATTAGTTTATATTAGCTACTACTGAATTTGAAGACAGGAGTTGTGAGCTCCCCATGTCTGAATGCTTGTTTTTTGTTTTTGAACATATTTCTAAAGTAGCTGAATAAATTGATAATTACCATGGCATAAGGTGGGTTCTGCAAAAATATTTATCATGTGTGTACCATTATATAAGCAGCCTAAATGGTACTTCAGTCTTGATATATACTGGTAATGGATGTTCTAGGTGATATACTGTAATATTTGTAGTGGTCCAGTCATTGGAGATTGTGATGTAAAGCTGATGTTAAGTTGACATAAGGATGTCTTTCAAAATATTTAAACTGTAACTCAAGGGGTTTTGTCTCATAAAACATAGGTAACTTATGTTTACCAGAAAAATGTTCCAAAAAAAGGTTATTATTGACCAAGTCCTTAGTGCAGTAGGTAACAGGGTGTTTTTCTATCAACTGAAACATATACATAACATGCAGTGTTTGGCATTTCTGACATAATTTTTGCACCAGTAATAGAAAAGATCATTTTATGTTTCCTTTACTGTTACCATGTTGCATTTGTATTTATAAAATTCAGTGACAAACAAACTAAAATTGCAGCAAAAATTATTGTTCTGTACAGAAGATTGCTATGTTTTTGACAACTTTATACAAATTGTAAAAATTAGATTAAAAAAGGATTGGAAATCAGCACTTATTGAATTTGCAAAGTGAGTACAACACTTTCACAGTTGAAACATTTCCATTTGTGACAGTAACATTTGGGGTTAGACTATGAATTAATTTTTATGAAAAGTGGTTCCAGGACAATAAAACTTTGATACACATTTTTTCATGTGGGACATAAAAATTACCAAATTCTGTTTCTAATCCATGCATTGAATATTTCTGAGAGCATGCCTCTGACAATATTTGCATCTTTAGATTGGGTTTGGATGATAAACATATAACTTTTCTGACCTACAAAAAAAAACATACTTTATAATAAAACAATACATTTTTGGGCATATGTATGATATGGTTATTTATATTTAGGTTGTAAATATCTTTTAAATAACATGAGACAACATGTGGGTATCTGCATGGAGGCATGAAAACTGGTCTATTGGTGAGATGTCAATAATTAAGGAACAACTGTATAAAACAATTTCATTCACATCAAAAAAATATTTTATAGTATAACAACATCATAGAAAATATATTCTGAAAGATAACATGTAAATTAATGTAGAAATTTCTAAATTTGGGTGTTTGATAGTAAATTGTTCTGGATCAGTGACCATGCAATAGCCCATATCACATATTTTCTTTAAATGTTTTATTACTTTTGTCTCCAAAATATACAAATTGATTTAACACTTTCACTTTTTAGTTCAAAGCCTCCTCTTTAATATGAGATAAAGCAAAAACACCTGTCCATTTGGAGACATTGAGAAAAATTAGCTTAAAAGGGTGGGGTGTCTTTCATTTTGAAAGAATGACAAGGATTTTTCAAAGTAAAAATTAAGTGCGTTTTAAATATGCCAGACCATTTTCAGTGTGATAGTTGGATTCCTGAAATATTAAAATATGAAGTCATGAAAGCTACAAAGCAATGGGATATGAAGAACTATTGTTATAGAGTATTTCTTAACTAGGTCACCATGACCTAGATTCATGTGAGGCACAGCAAGCCCTCAGCTGGGTCCAACTTTGGAGTGTCATAACTCTGAAACCAGTTGAGATCTCAATCTAAAATTTTAGGTTTTTTCTAGTCCCTAGAATATCTACAAAATACGTGAAAATCAGCAACTTTCTTGACGGAGGGTACCCTCGCTGGATGAGTTGATATGGAATGACCCGTGGGTATCTGTACCTAACAAGACTTACATGTATGCATATCGGTGTGTGACTGTGTTCTTGGTATATGTGGTAGCTATGTGCTTCACGAGTTGCGTTGATGGATTAATGACAGCCCAGAGCAAGGACAGGTACGTGTTGGTTCATACATGCAAATTGCTCAAAGTCTAATATTGAATGATTCTATAACCTTTCGAACATTGAGAGCAACATTCCCTTCTTCATTCTCTCGGACATTCGTGATCTCTGTGCTATGCTAACATTCACCTACAGTATGGATGCTGCGAAGTGGGTGAAGGGAAGGAAATATACACAGGTATTTGTCCTGCTTAGCTCGATAGACATGAAATAGTACGCTGGGACATTTTCAGTGTAAGGATAACATGAAAAGGATGAAAAGCTATTTGATTTTTTAAAAATTATTTTACTTGTAAGCCTGTGGGGAGGAGGGGGGGGGGGAGAATGTCATTGAACACTGGGATGTTTTGATTGAATTATCACTCTTAAGAAAACATCTAGATCAGTTATGTCAATAAGTTTAAGTAAATTAAAGTGCACACAGCGGTCTTATCAGGTCAATTACCTGACTATAGCTAGAAGGTTTCCACGGAAGGGGTTCTACACGAAATCGATAGCAAACAAGATTTTTATTTTACTTCCGTAAACCATACACCTATATTATTTAGTAGAATGTTTAAATTCTACAAAACCTAATACTATGACAGCGGTACAATATAGTAACTACAAAATGTAAATAATTGAGTAAACGTGTTTATACACATGTCTGCTTCATAATTGTCTTGTTTTGGTACATCCGTCCTACTTATGAAAATGTTAACGGTTAAATTCTTTGCACCGAATTTCCCTTTCCTGAAGAAATGGACATTTTTCTGCTAAGAAAGAATCATTGGCCAATGCATTCGATGTTAAAATCATTTTGATGAAATGATTTAGTTCTAAATTTCTGTAAACATTTTTATCGCCATAGTCGGCCTTACATCCTAGAATGGGAATCGACATCAGGCCTTTTATGAGAGTGGCTTTACCACTGTGCTGGTTTTAATTGGGAAATATAAATAGCTTTGCATAATATTTTAATATTCAACTTAAGAGACAACTTTGTTATAGATATAAATTCGGGTCATTTTCAAATACCTTCAATGTATTTTACAAAATTGATCGTATACCTATCATTTCTTATTTATCATTTCAAACGATTGGTGTAATTTATACCTTGGTATTCATGACAAAATAGATAATGTTTCAGATACATTTTTTGCTTTATATCCAGCTAAATCCGTTAGATCCGCTTTAACCAATTAAACTTGTTCTAAATCAAGGCTGGGACTTTTTTTACTTGCAGTTGTCCCACATTTGTCTTTACTGTTATCATAATGTAGTGCAAGCTAGGTTACATTTCTTTTTCATATTGAATATCAAAGGACAGCAGTTATCAAGAGATGACGTACATAAATCATATTGCCAATCATTTGATTTTTCACCTAAATTAAAATCCCATGCTCGCAGGCCCCATGTGGTATTCCAGTACTGTATGCAATTGTGTTAGTATCTGGTTAGGTTAAGATATTTCCAATACTTACATTTCACAGCAAAACTTTAACATCATTTCTTATCTTTTTATTAACTCTATTCACAATGCGATCCTGGTTTAAGATAATAGACCTTATTTTTTGTCAGGGAACATATAACATGATATTATACTGTATTAATGGAAAATTCAGACGTCCCATTATGCATGCTGTTTTCTAAAGTCATTACTCAATGGCTGTATGCGGAATATTATTATCTTAAACAATCAGAACAGGATTAATAAAATTACGTGGGATGCATTATTGCCCGTCTCTAAATGCACTACTGGTGTAAGGTACACAGTATGAGGTAAGGAACGTTATTTCTTCAATGATACACCCTTTTCACAAATATTCATTCACTTTATACATTGGTGTCCGTTAGGGAAAACAACTCAAGAATTCTTCAACTATAAAGTGTACAGTATAAGTATATTAATATCCGGGTTAGACCAATCCCGCGTCCTTTGCCATTCCATAGAACGTGCTCCTCTTGTCCTGAAGTAACACACTAGGTGGCTGAAACTCCTTAATGGTACCCTTGTCCAGCACTAGGACCCTGCAATATATGTAGTATATCGTTTGATATTTTTGTAACATATGGATAATCGTTTAAAAAGTATTGTACATGATATACACAGCACTTGTAGAACGGAAAAAAGTTGCTCTGTGAAGACAACTTTTTTGACATTTAAAAGGTGGATACACTTGTCCAATTTACGCTTCATGAAGCAATCAGTAAATTACACTTACCTGTCATAGTCCATGATTGTATTCAGCCTGTGTGCTATAGTTACAACCGTGCACTCTTTGAACTCTGACCTAATCGTGGATTGGATAAGGTCATCCGTCTCCATATCAACGGCGGCAGTTGCTTCATCTAAAACAAGGATTTTTGTCTTCCGAAGAAGAGCCCTTGCGAGACACACTAACTGGCGCTGTCCAACACTGAAAATTGAGAGAAAAGACCTTTCGTTGTCTCATCAATTTATATAGTTGTGTGTTACAATTTAAGTGCTAACTTCATACAAATAAAAGATGAAAACGCGGCGATAAAATGCATTTACAGGGCCTACGAATTGTTTGCTGATACCTTAAATTTTCTCCGGCCTCAGATATTTCATGCTGCAGCCTTGCAGGCAAAGTAGCCACAAAGCCTTTCAAGTGCGCATGCTCAAGTGCGTTCCATACATCCTGATCAGAGTACAAACCAAACGGGTCTAAGTTCGACCTAAGTGTCCCAGAGAAAAGTTCAGGTTCCTACCAAGAAGAAAAAGAAATGCGCACTCAAAATTCAGTTAAAATAGATTTTTCTGGTGTTGATGTTGGGAGATAGAGAAAACATAAAGTTGAATATCTACTGCCAATCCAAGACCTGCATGTGTCTGTGCAAGTTGCAAAATGGTCTCGAATTTTCTAAAAGCAGTGTGACAATCGTACGCAAATATTTTATTCACATGAGTAAGATAACATAATACAACTGCTTACTAAATTTCCTTAAAAAAGATTTTAAAGGAGAGGAGAGCTGCCAGAACGCAGACTAGCTATACCTGTGGGATGATTGTGATTTTTGACCGCAGTTGGTGTAATCCAATGTCAGCGATCTTAACGCCATCTATCGTGATGCTACCTGCTGCTGATTCTATTATTCTAAACAGAGCCAAGGTAAGAGAAGATTTCCCTGCGCCTGTGCGTCCAACGATGCCAACCTGGCAACAAACAACGGACGTCCATTCTATCTTACTACCCTCAGTAACAGGAAAATTAATAAGTATACGTAAATAAATATCTATATATTGGAAATGCATCAAAAGTCCCTTGTTTTATTTTTTACAAAATTTCACTGTCATATCTGTACGTCGACAAAATATCATTTAACGTGTCGCTTATTTGCAAATACTCAAAAATATTCCAGGTGTTTAACAAACAGTGCAATATGGCTACTTATAGTTCACGAATAATGTGTTTATTCTATAAATCTACTGCATATTTAGTCTTTTTGATTATTTTCGTGAGATCATTTTACTTAAGAATAAGCGGCGATTACGACGTCAATTGGTGACAATTGTTTTATTGTTACCTTCTCTCCAGGCTCAACTTGGAATGTGACATTCTTAAGCACAAGGTCCAGTCCAGGTCGGTAACGGACACTGTACTGGTCAAACTGGACCTCTCCTTTCTGTGGCCACTCTGGGGGTGGACGGCGGTGATCAATGTCCCAAGGGGCCTGGATGTGGACAGTGCATTCAATTATAGGTACATGATTCGTGATTATGAGTTGAAAGATAATTGTGTACATCTGAAGGTGCAAGGTGCAAATAACATTTAAGATTTGTAAGTACCGTATATAGTTCGATTTCCAATATAAATTGATTAAGTGAAATATTAACTTTCAGGTGTTTATTTAATATAAACGAAACGATTTACCACAATGAAAAATGAATTACCTCAACTTCAACTGCTGAATACTCCTGGATCCTTTCTATAGCGACTACTTGAATTTCAAAGTCACAACTTGCTCTGACAAGGTAATTCAGCATTTGAGTTACCTACAATATAGGTCTAATATGTACAAGCAGTATCACCCTCCATGCAAAACAAATGAATTTATACGATGATTTCTTTTTTCAAAGTTTTGGGGTGGAATTAAGTTTAAAAATTCCCTAATGACTAGTTGCAAACAATAACTTCGGACCAGTTTATTATTTATAATAGCCGGGCAATCATCGATGGTTTAGTGTGAGAATGGCATTGCACTGGTACTGCATTGTTTACAATGACATTAGGATATTTGAATTATTTGCTGACCAGGGAATGCGTATATCACGCCGACAGAAGTTAACTAACTTTGCACTCACATTAAGCGACAGAGAGATGGACATCCCGGCGTCTCCTCCAGTGATACTTCCAGATCCAGTTGCCAGGACAGCAAATATGGCGGCAAACAGGATGACAAAACACCCGTATGTTTCCATTAAAACGCCGCACCACCTGAGGGTAGAAGGCATATTCAGTGACATGTGCGGAAGCGAGGAATGTCTTTTTTTTTTTACAAAATATATCTTGTTTGAAACAGGTTTATATCAACTAGTTAGATGATAAAACAAAATGTGAGAAGATAATAAGATATTCTTATAGTTCTTACCCACCTAAAATATTTGGCTAAATCTTTAAGCGTACATCAACTTAAACTGTCCAACATTTCAATATATGCTACGTTCGTACCGAATAACTTATATAATAGCGCCAAATATCGCTTCGCACCGACAGTGATCAGTTATCAACAGAAATCAAATATTCCTCATTACACTCTCTGCTACTTTACAGCAGGAAAGGCCATATACCCTATACTCACCGATTTGACATAATATATCCGTACCAGGCCATCTGATTGTCGTCAATCATTTTGTCGGTGAGCTGCATGAATCTTTCCTGTTGTTGATAAGCTCGGATGGAACTCGCTCCAATTAGAGTCTCACCAAAATGGGAATATATTGGGGATCTCTTTGTAGCATCAATCCGTATAAACTGTCTAGCAGATGACAGGTATAATTTCTGCAACAATGAAATGATGCGAAAAAAAGTTGAATCATATCGGTTGCAGAACGCTGTACAAATTGAACTGCGATTGATTTTCAAATTTGTTGGTAAAAATAACGTAGACAGACGTTAACCGTGTATGCAGGTCAAGCGCATATGAGTGTGCCTGTTTTTAACAGTATTTTGACGACCACCGTGAATCTTAGTATATCTGTATGGGTAAGTATCAAATATAAGAGTGTCCAATACCTGTGTCATAAAGTAGAGAACACCTAACGGCAGTAAGACTACAGCAAAAATAGGCGTGCTGTACATGACAACGGCGACAACTGCGATAACCTGGGCACTCGCCGCCAGGATAATTTCCACTGTGTGTGGGAGGTTGAGATCTACAGTTTCCATGTCCTTGGAGAAACGGTTCATGATGCGACCTGAAGGCATCGGAAGAGCAAACTTATTGATAACTTACTTTCGAATCTGTAATGTGTCACATCGTATACTTTAGACTCTCATTTCAGATGACCTGCGTATAATGTTTTTTGCCTTTTCTGTCCTTTTTTAAACGAATTCATGTACCTACTAAAACATCTGATAGAAAAACAACATTTTTCCTGAATATCTAGACAAAGAAATATTTCTTAGGAGATGAAGAAAATGTTTCTTGTAAAAGTGCAGGTAGTGGAGCTAACGTTGATTATGTCACTTCGAAGTGCACAGCCATCTGAGGCCAAGGCAAAGCTAAGATGCATTTTGCGTAATCTATTTGCTTTAAAAAATACAGACATCCCCTTAAAACACCCAGCTTACCAAGAGGCGTCGTGTCAAAGAAAGACATTGGTGCCCGCATGATTCTCTCCAGGAAAGACTTGTGTATGGTGCCTGAAGCAATCACACATCCAAAAGCGATCCCAAAATACTGAACGACGATATATGACACTGGAATGTAACGAAGAATATCCATAATGTCATTGAAATATTATTGACATATTTTAGCGGAAAATGCAATTAATGACATATTTAAGCTTATATATATTTGTGCTCAATTTGCATAATACTTTTTTTTTAAGCCCATTGCAATCTTTATTTTAAACCCTAGGAAAGACAGTCAGATGCATGGGATTTATATTTAAAAGTAATGATGAATTACTTTTCCAGTTCACCAATTTACATCAGCTTGACTATCAGACGCATACTTGTACATAGAGTGAAATTTTGATCACTTACACTGTCCAGCCCCTAGTCCCCCATATACTCCTAGCCTGAGATCAGTAAGCTGCTGGGTGCCATTAACAACTTGGTCATTGCTCCACAAGTTCAGCCAGATATTAGCACCAATCAGACAAGATACGAAGCCAATATATCCGATCGTTACCATGAGGATAGCCCTAAGTCCACTGGCCCGAATATAACTCAGCATATGAGTGTACTTTACCTGGAAAAAAGAGAGGGCACATCAATAATGGACATTTGGTTATGACTAGCACTGCATCAGATATGTTAATTGATTTTGACATTTTGATACGGTGTATGACTGTTATTTGGTCCAGAATATTTATAACTGACTTAAAAGGCAATGCAATGAGAGAAGAATAGAGCAATTAAAATTAATGTTTCAATTAAGCACCAGTTTTGATTTGTGATAAAAGAGGCCATTTCTACCAAAGTATAAAAGAGGACCAATACCGCTACTGTTTATTCTTCCCAATAAAAAAGAATAGAAAAAACTACCGTTCCCCTTTCAGCGTACTCCTCTTCAATCAACTGTTCCCCAATCTTCATAACCTCCTGCGCATGTGTCGATTCGCCAAACGAGGTCTGCCTGCTAGTCTGCTTACTGGTCTGCCTGCTGATTTGTCTACCATAATACATCAATGAGCCGTATGGGTACAACTTGACTGCAGTGTTAACACTCTATACTACTGTTACCACAATATACATGCATATTGCACAGATTTCAATAAAAATTATTCATTCCCACAACAGTTAAGATTTGATACGTTTGTAATGCTGCGTAGAGCACAATTGTCCACCGATAGAATGTTGATGATCGAAACACATTTTGACCAACATGATCAGAGGGAATGGAAAACGTGTTTTAAGAGTTCTAGTTCTAGGGTTACATTTCTACCCCCTTACCTTTTCCGCTTCCGGACATGGTGGTCCTGCTCGCTCCCACTTTCTGAACCCGACAAAACCGATATCTGTCGTCTTAGCTGCGATCGCATATCTACAGCGTCACAATTAATCGTTGATTAAGCCATAGTTTATAGAATGTTTTCCTCAAAACATTGTGTCATTTCAGTTATGTCTACTTATAAAATAAATGCACGCCATTTTACCTATTGCATTATATGTTGGTATTTTTTTTAAAATTCTACATTATTTCAAAGGACAGTTATGATATATAGTTCTTCTTTAGGGTTGCCTGAAAAGGGCAATTCAATTCAACTTCCAAACTCGAAAATAAATGTTCATAATATATTACCTTATGCTGCAGGATAAAATGTTTGGTTAAAATGAAATTATAATTATAAATTGTAACATATAAAAACATTTTCTGTTACCCTCTTCTTCCTCACTCTCGCTTTCAGACTCTTTCTCGTTCAAGTAGTTCTTTATGAATTCAGCGAAGGCACCATTATGACTCAGCAATTCTTGATAAGTGCCTATCTCTGATATTACTCCCTTGGTCAATACTATGATGGCGTCCACCTTTGGCAAGAAGCTGATGCCGTTTGTGGTCAAAATTCTCGTCTGAAAGTAAGCTAGTATTGTGAACAATTTCATGAATTTTTCTCACGTCCATTACATGATACGCCGTTGTATTTCTAATAATGAAAATAATGAAAACGAGAGAGCAAATTGGTTGGCAAGCTACTGCAAACTGTGTTGTTTTGTGTATTTTCTGTAGTCCTCAAAACATGTGTTTCTTCTCATTCAGAAAAGAATCGGACTGAAAAAAAAACGCTTTATATCTGGAAATTGCTATTATAAAAGTATGAAAGGAACAAATAAAGTCAATAAGTCCAGAGGTTAACATAAAGTTACATGTATGACTACAAGATATCTGTATAAACTGGTTTGTGCCTAAAAGTTGATTAAAATTTGGTTAATGCTCATGCCTAGATTTTCCGTTTAAGTCCACTTAATCTTCAAATACTTTCAGAATTCAAAAATAAAACCAGTGTTGTCAAAGTACTTTACTAAATGCAGAGCAACTAAGGTAATATGCAATCTGAATCGAATATGCAAAATGCCTGTCAGCGCCGAGCTATCTAAAAAAATGTTCTTATCCTTTCCACACCCTTAAATGAACAGCGTTGAAAAAAATCCAATTTATAAACAGTAACCTGATCTGAATCATACCTTTCCTTGCAACAGCCCTTCCGGCCCAATCACGTGATCAAAGATGTGTTTCCCAACATGGCTGTCTACTGCGCTAAGAGGGTCGTCCATGAGGTACACGTCACAATCCTGGTACACCGCTCTGGCCAAACTCACTCGCTGCTTCTGACCACCACTTAAGTTTACACCCTGATAAATTCAGAAATGAATATGGAGAGCAAAGAAGAGATCAGTCAAGAAGAGATGACAAATTAAAATGTTATATTCATGTCAATGGCAAGTAGAGTTGTAAGTATATGCGCAAGCTATATTTATAATCCGGTTATGTATGGTATTATTTGTAATACCACACGAGAACTTGTTATCTAAATACATATATTAATGAGTTATAATATCTGTAAAAACGATGTACCTTTTCTCCTATTTCTGTTTGGTCTCCAGCGGGGAGGATTTTTAAATCCTGTTCTAAAGCGCATGTTCGAAGACACTTCTTGTAAAAGGACTGGTTCCACTGTTTTCCAAACAGAATATTTTCTTTGACAGTTTTGTTTTGTATCCATGCTTGCTGTGGAACATAGGCCACTGAACCCTAAAATTATGTTATTGTTTTGTTATTGTTTATATGATGTTCTAACCTCTTCAGCAATTATTGACAGTTAATTTGATTGTTATCATGCCATCCGACATGCACACGCAGAAGGACACGCACACGCAGAGAAAAAGATACAGCTCTGTATTACCTTTACATTAATTTTTCCTGATATACGCTCCATGTCTCCTAGCAGAGCATTTAATAGAGAGGATTTCCCACTTCCAACCTGGCCCACCACAGCCACCAGAGAGCCAGGGGGGATTTCAATATTTATACTGGAATAGAACCATTTGATCACCATATCAAGGAGTAGTTCAGGCTACATGTTAGACGACATTTTCAAATAATAAACAATCTCCATCCCTCACAGAGAGAGAGAGAGAAAGACAGAGAGAAAGAGAGAGATCCAAATACAGTATTTAATTCAAAACAAGTATATAAGATTAACAGGATATCTTATATTTTTAAGGTGCTAGTTTGATCAAGCTCTTGGAATATTTAATACAACATCATGTAGCCTAGGGGTAGTTTGGGAAAGATTTCAAGGCATATTTCAAAGATCCCTCGTTACATACTGTTGCAGTGTCGTCGGCTCATCTCTGTCCCAGCTGAAAGTGCCATCCGTCACAGATATGGTGCCATCTAAATAATATAATTATCAAAGTTCTATCGTAGCTGCATGTAAAGAATAAGATGGATGTTAGTTTTACGTTAATATTATACGAAGTTGAAGCAAAGTTGAAGACGCCAAATATCATTTGATAATCCGGAGGTTAGATTCTGAGCATATAGAAAAAAATTAATTATTTAATTTAGATTTTTTTCTCGAATGAAGCATCGTTGCATAATAGCCCACGTCAACAGCACGTTTTTGAAATGCCCTTGTTTTTTCCATGGCTTTAAAGTCTAACATGTTTGCATAGGAAATATATCCCAAATTAGAAACTTCACTTTCTTTTTTTACGAAACTGTACAATATGGTTCGAATAGAAAAGTATTTCTTACTAGCTGACGAGGTTCTATCGACCACGCTAGTATCCAGTTCTTCTTCTTTGAGGAATCTATTCAGACGCCCTATGGAGACACCAGCCTGGGAAATCATTGACAAAAAATAGTCTTACCATTATGATATCGGTATTAAAAGTATCATTATCAGCAATAAAATATTAATAATAAAAGTGATAATCGTTATTAACACTATTGTTATTTACTCAATAACATTTCTTTTCCCCTGAACACAGTGGACAAACAGACAGACAAATGGACGGGTAGACAGGGATAGACGGACATGCTAAGTAGAGAAACGCAAGGTCGACAGTGTTGTGCATTGGTTCGCAGGATTCGTCAGTTTGCAAAAGGCTTAAAAAGGCTGCACCACTGATGCAAACCTACCTGTACCAGGTACATTATAGATATGGGGACGGCGCTCACATAACTGTTGACAATGGTGAATAGGGACAAAGACACAAACGCTGTGTTTGGGTCAAGAACGTTGTTGGGATCTGAGAGAACAAATGTTGCGAAACTGGCCAACGCCATCTGAAAGCAATAAACATAAGGATAAGATGAGCATACTAAAAACTGGTGTGGTATGTCACATTCATTACCTCTTTGATTAAACCATTGTTGAAAATATTGACATAATTCATATTTTCATTTTCAGCTGCCACGCTTCCAGTTTTTTTTTCTGTTTTAACTCGCAAAAGGTCGTTCTTTTTATAAATTGGAATGGTGTGTTTTTTTAAATTATTTAATTTGTTTATAATTTGTATCTTGACTTACTTACCAGCAAAGGCGCACAGAACCAAATGATGGATGTGAAAGCATTGGCAATCTGTACGTTTCTCAAAGAAACAAGCTCCGTGTCACGAATACCTGTGACTTTGCTTTGAAATGACTCTTCCCAAGCGTACAACTTCAAAATCTGTCGTTAAAAAATATAATGAAATTTTCAAAGTGACATCAATATTTGATGATGGTATTGTAATGACATGTTAAAGTTGCTAAAAAACGTTCGAAGATGATGATTATGCTATATTTTATTTTTAATGAAACACTTTTCGAATCTTGTTTAAACACTCTGTGTACCTTTATAGCGTTTAATACTTCATTGAGAACTTTCAACCTTTGGTCTTTCAGAGACATCTGTGTAACCTGCAAAACAGTAAACAAATATTTTTTTAAACATTTCACTCAAGTTCCTGTGAAAGGTGTGAGACAAACTGAATTTTACAATCACAAATGCATCACCTTTTCAGCTGGCTCTGATTCGAGTATCATAAGCTCAATTATAGAACTTGCTCAACGTACCCTTATATGCGCAACTTATTTCTTATGAATGTACTTTTGAAATGCCTCTATTAAAAAGAAAATTGCTTTATATGATTTTTTTAGTGCAAAAATATATAAAGACAGGGCAGTGAATGATTCATACATAATAAAACCTTGTCTTTTTTTGTATGTTTCAACAAAGAAAAAAAAACTTTGACCTGGAATAAGTTTTGAAAAGCGGATACAAAATTAATAAACCTTACTTGATGCGCCCTTATCTGTGTACCGGCGTAAGCATTCAACGGTATGAGAAGTATGATGACAACAAGACCCGCCAATGTAGCCACACCTAGATATTCCCAAAGCAGCACTAGAGCAACGATGATTGCTATGGCCGAAGACCAAATCAAGTGTAAGAAGATGGGCGATTCCTGCATCTTCTGGGCGTCCACTGACATTAAGTTAACAATCTCCCCGACTGTTGATTTCTTCCTTGCAGCGCTGCTTAATTTCAGTGACTAAACGACATAGAGTAACGTCTATAGACATAGAGTAACGTCTATAGAACAACAATGCTTACAAAGTCCAACACCATGTGGTGAAAACTAATGACAAATTAAGCATGTGAAAATACATGACGAGGTATCTGAAGTAGCTTAAACACGTTGGTCGATTCTACCCGAAATGATAGATGTAAAAAACGTAGTAAAGACCGCGTCATGATCTATTTGACATCCTTTCTATACAACATAACTCAAAGTACTGTATATTTTGTAAAATGGATCTACCGGTAAATAAACACAACTATATGTGGATGTAGCAAAGCAGGAAAACAAAACCGTAAAGGTATCAATGCATTGCCGTGGCAATAACATGTACATGTGTAATTTTATCTGAATCAGTTTAAACAAAATCAACTTAATGTATGACAAAACACACCTTCCTATACACAGTTGCTATGATGGCCGTGCGTGCCCTCAGCCCAACTCTCAAGCAAATTCGCATGTAGTTTTGATTGAGCAGAGAGCGGATCATGCTGACTAAGAACATCACCACGGCCAACAAGTAACCCCGCCACGTGAGCGGGTCGCCAGTTTCTACGAAGGTAATCATCAGACTGAAAGGGGAAATGTACAGAGGAACAATAAACATAAATCAATCACCGCTGGTTTATATCAATGCGGGTGCTATTGTTCTCATCAGTGTGTTTTACTGAACTGCAAATGTTACGTTTACAATAATCAGTTTCGATTCGCAATAACAGATGCCAGTTCAATCAAAAGTAAAATAACCAAAAAATAATCCGTAGATATATGTCGGACGTTCATCCTCATCTTGAACTGAAGACAAGTCCATCTTAATGTTTGAACACATAAAAATAACCATGGGTTTTTTAACTGGATTGCCACATACCTTAACAGCATTGGATTGACGAATGTGACTGCATCAAACAGGAGTCGGAGTAGTGCGGCCATAGCGTAGTAAGGTCCAAACGTTCGTAGTAGAGCCATAAGCAAACTAGGTTGTCCTTGTGTGGACGCAATTGTCTCCACGTGCAGCGTATCAGTTAGGGTTGTCTTGGCAGAAGGGATCCCGTTCCCCATCTGGTGGCTCTGGTATCCATTGGGAGTGCCACTGCAGTCGTGACTTGCGGAGAAACGGACGGCCGAATTACTGGTTGTAGGAATATGAAATAAAATTCATTGCAATGAGCAATAAAATACACGCAAGAAAAGAATGCATATTGCAAAAAAGGATGCATATTTTGGAACAGCAGATGAAGAACGAATCAATACATATTCCTTGGAAAAGTACAAAGACCTACTTCATTTTCACTTTCTCTTTTCTCCATTCTCCGAGAAACTTTGGAAGGATGACGTCACACGAATCTTCAGGAAGCAGTCCGTACATATCAGCAAACACCAGAGCCTGCTTGTATCCCTTGATTACAAGTCTAAGAAGAGATCATATTTAATAAACGGTTAACAGACAATAGGGGTTACGTAACAGTTTTTGCACACAAGCATGTGAGTATAAACAAATATGCATGTATTAAAGTTCAGTGGCAAATGCATAACTGCAAAATACATAATATTTCTTTGGTTTTACTCTCAAATAAAATGTTTAAGATCTTCGCAGCAGTCTGATATAAATTATAAAATTATGAAGTATGTAGAACCATTACTGACTTTGTTATCCACCAGTATAAAATTCTGGATAGGAAAGAAGACCTTATCTCTGGTGAAATTTCCTGAAATGAAACCAACATAAAATGATATACAATACGTTGCTCCTATACACACAAGATCACGATTATTTTTAAACGAATATATTTTTCTTTAAAGATTTGATATGTCTTTATATCCTTTGAACTGGATAATTCGTAATTTTATCAATGAAAACTGAGTAGTATCATCCGTTTAACTCTCAAATAACATTTACATTACCCTGTTGCCACTGGATTTTGTTGGGGGTTTAGCTTTTATCAATATCGGTTGTTTTTCGGACAACTCTCCCCAGTCAGGTGTGCTTTCTGGCAGCGCTTTGGCATCCGCCCACAGGTGCAAAATGAACTCAAGCACGATACAAGTGTAATGAACGCAGAACGTCACCACGCGGAACATGCTGTCTAGATCCTGGGAAGAAACAAATACTTTTCGTTATTGTAGGTTGTAGGACTTTGTTAGACATAATAGTATCTGAAGTCACACTAGAAACCAGGGGCTAATTCCATAAAAGCATTCTAACTTAGAATGATTCTAAATCCCTAGTTGTGTACTTGTTAGCAATCAACTAATTTCTATTCCATAAAACCATACTAAGAACCATTCTTACTTGTTGCTTGCTTAGATTTGGCTAGAATGGTGTCTACATAGGAAAACACAAAACCACAGGGTCAGTTTTGCCAAACAATAGGCAGTGACAGGGTGAAAGTTGAACTGAGTGCAGGCTGAGTGAAGTACTGGTCAAGGCATTCCCATGTATTCTAAAAAGCCCTATACAGAAAATGGCATCTTCGGCTTCAGGGAAGAGTCAACGAAAGCCGAATTATTCGACACAAGAATATCATTTCATAGCCGAATGCTATGAAGAATTTAAGGACACATTAGATAGTCAACACAAGAATGCTAGCACCAATGCTGGGAAAAATAAAGCTTGGGAAAGTATACTGAATCAGCACAAGGTAAGGTTTCCTAATGTGTCGAGATTTTTGGAAGACTTGAAAGCCAAAACTCTCCAAACTAACAATGGAATATCATGCAAATTAATTAAGCAAGATAACCTGAAGTTTAAAAAAAATTGAAATTGGAAATTGAACTTTTGGAACATAAACTTAATGCAAGCACACATAAAGATGACACTGTTCATTCATCACCAGTGTATTTCAGTTTGTTAGCAATACCATTTATCTACTGTCTGTAAAATAATTCTAAATGTTAATTGTAGGACATCTGCCTAAAACATTTAATATCCTGTCAAAACATTAAATCCAGTGTTCTTTCTCATTTCATTCTCTCAAGCAAGAATACAGTTTAGAATCTATTTTGTACAAGTAATGCACGTGCTCTGTGTCCATTTAACTGTAATAAGGTAATAAGGCATGCTTTTTCCTGGTATGTCAGTTATCAGCAAAACGCCTTCTCTAAAAAATCTGTATCTTTTTACAAGTTCCACATCATCAAAAATGTCCAACGGATTCCTTCTATCCCGAAACACTTTCCTGCCGCATTGCTCTGCGGAGTTCCACAATTTCGAAAATTTTCCTGGCCATCCTTTCACCTCGGAGGTATGAGGAGAAATGAGTTAGAATGATACTAGTGATTTAGAAGATACCCTGACCTACTCTAACTTTAGCATGAAACTTAGAACTATACTAGGCTTAGAATGGTTTTATGGAATAGAGTTAGTATGCAACTAGATATAGAATGAAGTTTAGCAACCAACTAGGGCTTAGAATGCTTTTATGGAATTGGCCCCAGGAGAGAAGTTTCAATTTTAATATTAACAGCTTTATCATAATCGTATAAGGTAAGCCTTTTGCATCACTTATAATGTTTCTTTAGGGCATTTTACATGTATGATTTCTTCCTGGCGTCTTTGCACCATTAGTCATATTCATTTCAAAAACTTTGAGAACACCGAGGTACATGTATGTAGCTTTTAAAAGATCTTAAATTCACTTTTGCCTTATATTTTGCACTGATGTTGATGAAAGTATGTATATTAGAAACATACAAAAGTATGTGAACACTCACCTGAATTTGCACCTGTATTATTTTAGATCTTAGTGACACACCCCCTAGTAGGAGAAGTATGGACCAGAAGATGAACAACATGGCTGAGGACACCTCTCCTTTCTTAAACTCGTACGTGATCACAAACGATGACATTCCCTTCAATATAAATGACAACCATTAGACATTTCCCCTATATGCAACAGATCTTTAAAAAATAGATATTAAAACACATACATAAGTTAAGAAGTGTAATAAGTCAGTTTTGAGTCATTAACAAATTGTTAACCGTGCTACATTGCTACAGAAAGAACGCCAACCTAAAATAGATGCAAATAGACTTACAAATGTGAAAGCGTATATGGCAGGTGCGACGAAGGCGGCTGGTGGTGTTTGATGTGTTGGTATCTCACTGAAGGACTTCAACAAATCCAGAATGGAGGTCAAACATAGCAAAATGCTGAGGATCTGGAGATATGAGAGTTTTACATAAAAAGTGCCATTATGCCATAGCTGTTGCTTGGAAAAAAAAAGAAAATGACCTTTTGTGTCAGCTCGAATTCATTAAGATATGAAAAGTAAGAACAAAAATACAAATAAACTAACTAGGTATTCTTGCCATAATATACATTTCTCGCTTGTTTATCATCCCTCAATTCCATTAATCTATCAATGCATTTATCTAAAACATTTTAATTTCAAATGAAAATAAATCATTTACTTACCATTTTAGCAAGGTTCAATTTCCCGGCGTCACGCATCCTATGTACGGTGGGCTTGGATGATAAAACTGGGATAAAAAAGAGGGCAAACAACCAGAAAATCCCACAGGACACCCACACAAACACTGTGTCCTGGAAACATTGTGTGACGTCAGGATTACTGGTGTTTACTGTCAGACTCCAACTCTGTAAAGAGAGCAAATATCAATTAAGGGTGTCGGCACATGGGAAAGTATCACATCAGGCCTCCATTTTATACATGTACTACATAACGATAACCAAAATACCAATGTACATTTACATTCCTCAGCTGCTTTTTTTGTCAAAATGAAACCGGTGGGCATCAGAAAAAATTATCACGTGCCTTCGTCAGCCAGTCTATAGATGAAACATATCGAAGCACGTAAAATAGTCTCAGTTTCTTGTTGTACGTCATTGATAATTTTTACTCGTCGTCAGAATGATATTTGCCAGGTCTAAAACCCACCTATCTTGAGGCCTGTGTTTCAATTGTGACCCAGTTAATTTTTCAACACGTGCTCCTACATGTGGGCAGTAGCCTAGTCGTGGCTGAGTTTCATGCCGGTTTGAGAAGAAAGATAATCCTTTGAATGGAAGCCCCGGGTCTCATATGATTAGTATAGGTTAGGGTTAGTCAGAATAATGGGGTGTATGTACGGGACGAATGTACAAAGCAATGGGGAACGGACCAAGGTTCCCAGCTGACTACCATTCCTGTCACACTGGGTCATACATGTAGGAACAGCAAATCCGATCCCTGTACAGGCTGATTTGATACGTGCCATCATTAAGGGTAAAACAGGTTAATCTAATTGGCAAAAAGAACAAAAAAAAAAAAATGCTTTCATTTTTGCACAACTATAAATATAAACTTCACATAAACAAAAGAAAAATTAAAACTACACAAATAGCTGCTGATCGACACACACACGTACATAAATTCCTTACCCAGAAAGCTGTGTATCTTGAGCCATTTCCACAGAAACCTGGCCAGTATATATCCTCCATATCAAAAACTCTGGTTAATCTTTTCTTACAGATCTGTTCTATAGGCGGCAGGTCTATAGTGGCTGGAACGGTTTCATGTTCTTGCTATCAATACTTGATATATTAATTCAAGCCACTGGTATATGGAGCTGTCTTAAGGAGGACTCTTGCTGTCTTATCAACCTGTTTAATGATTAGCCAAGGTAAGGGACCTCACTTACTGACAAGTGATATAGATTTCACTATCTTGTGCAATTGAGTAAACAAAATGACGGAACTGACGGTTTTTGTATTCACTGCTGACATATTAGCGTATGCTGATTTCAGCATCTTGTGCAATAACGTAAATATGATAAAGATACTAATGTTACAGTTGACTTGTCAACGCTTTAAACACAACTGGAATAATCCAGTTCGTGGTTTGTGCATTATGTGTAGCCTGTATACAGTCAATGCTTGCCCCCCTTCCCCCTCTCTCTCCTTCGTTTACTGAGACATTAAACAGGGTTTGAGAACGACACCTTGTCTGATAGCTGACTGGCAGATTAAGCCTGAAATTGGACTTGAGGTATATATATATATATATATATATATATATATATATATATATATATCTTGAGTTTATCTACTTTGCTCCCAAGATCTGTTGTCAGTGTGCACAGCACTCCTTCCAACATTTCCAAATGTGGAGTAATTGTAAATGGAATAAGACGTGCCCATCTATTTGTTACTATTACTATATGTTTGCAGATGAGGTGGAAAACTTCTTCTGGTTACTTTGATAAATAATGAAAATCTAGAGCATGTTTGAGAATGCAACAACACGTGCTTGTTGATGCAAAATTTGCGCATGCTCAAATATAGCATTAAATTATTATTCGATGAGCCACGAGACACATGAATGTCACACCAACATTTAATGGCAGATCCAGGGTGCTGCTAAGGGGGGGGGGGGGGCAGGGGAGGGGGGTCAGGATGAATTATTCTTGTATTTATTTTCTCGACAGATATAAAATAACTACTTGGAGACTTGATAACCATCTATGCACCTTGGTCACGTAAATTGTGATTTTACCCCTAAATGCAACAACTGAGGAACAGACTGCTATCGTAAACCAGTGTTTTACTTTATCAATTAGTTTTTGGTGAAGAATACCTCAGTTTTACCAACCCATATAGAGACCATCAAAAAGTTTTTTTCGTGGTCTCTAGATAAGTTGATAGAATGTAAAATTGTACTTAAACAAGAGGCCAACTTTCCTGTGGTATGTATGGGAACCCGGGTCGAAAGTTTTATGAATTTAACCATTTCCTTGCCAGCTACATTTATTTATTTATTAAATAATTAATTAATTAATTTTTTTGAGGGGGGATTGTACATCTCTGTTTAAAGCTAAAAAGCCCAAATCCCCTTCTCAAACGCGTATAGAGTAATTATAACAAATAAAACATATTCTACAACAATGATTAGCACGTAAACATTTTACTTGCAGTAGTCGTGCAATGTGTTCATTAATTCTTATTATTGCGCAGTGCATAGTAACATTTTTCATATTGGAAGATAAGCTTAGTCATGAAAAGCAAAGGCTTACTGTTTTCAAGCGATGAAGTATATAAAGCATATCGTTCAATTTTTGCCACGATTAAAGCATCATGTTTGCAGAACCGAACCATGTGGTATTGCATAAATGCGTGCAATTGTGCTAGTATCTAGTTATAAGAATTAGAATTTTAAAATACATATCTTTCAAAGCAAAACTTGTACAGCATTTTGTTTTTCTATTTATTAGACTAAACATGGCTTCTCATTTGTGTAACATATGGCATTCTGTTATTTACTGGACAAATGACTTGCCACATATTTTTACTGCATTTGCACCATTCCAAAGACCCCTTTTTCAGTGGAAAATCAAAACAATTAAACATACATACATTTATCTCCAAATTTACTTCTGGTATAAAGAAATACACTACATGTATCCTAAGAAATCTAAGTCCTTTTGCACATTGTCATGACGTTTAACACAAATCTTATTTCAGCTCCTATACAATATCCGATTTAGACCAGTCCGGCGTCTTTAGCCATTCCATAGAACGTGCTCCTCTTGTCCTGAAGTAACACACTGGGTGGTTGGAACTCTTTAATGGTACCCTTGTCTAGTACTAGGACCCTGCAACATAAGAAGGACGCTTTATAAAGACGTAATAAGCAAATCAGTATGCATTGGTTTCAAAAGGCACCACACACCAACGTGAATGGCAAATGTTAAGAGATGATGTCGTGTAAAGAGAAGGCCACCCACGTACGGGAACATGCTAAACATTGCAATACAGTGTATTTTCCTTGACTTTATATTGATAACGTTTGGTTTTACCTGTCATAGTCCATGATTGTATTCAGCCTGTGTGCTATAGTTATCACAGTGCACTCTTTGAACTCTGACCTAATCGTGGATTGGATAAGGTCATCCGTCTCCATATCAACGGCTGCAGTTGCTTCATCTAAAACAAGGATCTTGGTCTTACGAAGAAGGGCCCTGGCTAGACACACTAACTGCCTCTGTCCCACACTTGGAATTGAATAACATCATAATATAATTTAATGACAATAATGAAAAAAAAAATGCACAAGAGCAACACGTGTTGGCTTATCGAAGAAGATAAATATTAAAGATAACACCAACTGTGAGTTGGTGATCAATGATTCTGAAACCTTAAAAAATCACTGGAGAAGTTGAAAAAAAACAAAACATAATCATTGAACATTTCTTTCTTCAAGATACCTCAGATTTTCCCCGGCCTCCGATATTTGATGCTGTAGTTCTGCTGGCAGGGTGGACACAAATCCTTTCAAATGTGCATGCTCAAGCACATTCCAAACCTCTTCATCAGAGTATAAGTCAAATGGATCTAAGTTCGACCTTAGTGTCCCAGAGAAAAGTTCGGGTTCCTAAAAAGCATTTAAATCAAATATTGAAATGGTTTTTCACTTCTTCAGCCATTTATCTATGGAATCAGGACAAATCTCATAATGATTTCAGTAGTAAAATAATCCGTCGACCACATAAGCCCTTCATGTACGGATAATTTCAATTCAACAGCTTGTTTTTCACCAAATGATTCTACACAGTGGATAACTAGCACAGTTTTTACAGAAAATATTCGAAACATTTAAAACGCAAATGATATAATAAACTGCTCTGTTTTCAACTGAATGAGCGGTCAGCAAGCGATTTTTGAATGACATTTACAGGCCTTTGAAACTGTTACATGCGTGGAGATTTCACATTTTCTCCCTGGGCCTACCTGTGGTATTATTGTGACTTTAGATCGCAGCTGATGCAATCCAATGTCAGCGATGTTAATGCCATCTATAGTGATGCTACCAGCCGCAGACTCTATGATTCTGAACAGAGCCAAAGTAAGTGAAGATTTCCCCGCACCTGTTCGTCCAACGATGCCAACCTGGCAAAAAAACAAAGGATACACGATTCTACGTTATGTTAACCTCAGCTAGATTCACATAGGACGCACCTGAAATGATTTTCAATACTATAATTTACCAAAGATGCTAGATATTCTTTTGTAGCGACCAAGAGCGCTGAAACGAAACCCTCGTCCTCTTTTACAAGTAGATGCAGAGTGCACTGATGCGGACTACATGCCGAGAATCTCTCAAACCTTCTCTCCAGGCTGAACTTGGAATGTGACATTCTTAAGAACAAGGTCCAGTCCAGGCCGGTAACGGACACTGTACTGGTCAAACTGGACCTCTCCTTTCTGTGGCCACTCTGGGGGTGGACGGCAGTGATCAATGTCCCAAGGGGCCTGAAAGTTGATAGTGCATTAAATAATGAGTTAATTAAAAATTATGTAAACAAAGGTGTATGCATCTTATATCCCCGACAAGAAAAAGCATTTGATAGATATACGCATGCAGTTAAATAATAGCACTGATTTAGAGAGATAATAACCCATACGTTAACGATAAATGTGATTCGCTGCATGATTTATGACCTAAAATAGTCAATTGCAAGGTATTAAACAAGAATGCCTTCCAGATAAATGGAACCATTTGACAACTTTGATAAACATTACCTCAACTGCTACTGCTGAATATTCTTTTATCCTCTCTACAGCGACCACTTGAATCTCAAAGTCGCAGCTTGCTCTTACGAGGAAATTCAGCATTTGTGTTACCTGTCATAATAATTATGTTAGTGTTAATATTCGCCATTATTTCTTTGAAATACTGTGAAGAATATCTTCAGGTGTGTTTTAGAATCTTCATGTATTTGACTGAGTGAGATATTATTATATTTTGCCTTACCTTAGGTTCGAGCAAATCAAGATACTGACTATCTTTAAGAAGTATTACAATGTAGTAGGAATGCCTTTGCACGATATAATAATGGCGTTTACACGAAGGACTTGGAATTTGAAGCGGTTATAATGTTCTCTGCAACAAATAATGATTGTTTGCCTTTTTAGAAAACTAAAAAACACTTCTAACTCAGCCCTTACATTAAGCGACAGAGACAGGGACATCCCGGCGTCTCCTCCCGTGATACTTCCAGATCCAGTTGCCAGGACAGCAAATATGGCTGCAAACAGGATAACGAGAGACCCGTATGTTTGCATTAAAAAACTGCACCACCTGAAGAGAGAAGCCATTTGTATTGCTCGTTAAACAAATGTGTCTTTTCAAACATATAGCTGAATATAAAACCTTTCACTGGTTGTGACTGGTAACCATCTAAAGCCTATGTTATACAAAGTTTTCTAGTTGTGATTAAGAACAACATACAGATAAATCCTTTTGAGGGTCCACCATCCTATGATATAGGCCCTACGAGGACCCATCATACCCTCCATCACAGAGCCTCACACTAGACTCATCACACCCTCTGTTTCAGACCCGACATGAGGCTGCATGATACTGTACCATCTATTAAAACCGTACACGAGCGAGTCCTGGCAATCATACCCTCCGTTACAGACCTCGCATGTGGCCCCACCATACCCTCTGTTACAGACCCTACCAGAGGCCCCGTCATACGTATTAGAATCATGTTAAAGGGCATCTACTTACAGGTTTGTCATAATGTATCCGTACCAGGCCATCTGATTGTCGTCTATCATTTTGTCGGTGAGCTGCACGAATTTTTCCTGTTGCTGATAAGCTCGAATGGAACTCACGCCAACCAGGGTCTCACCAAAATGGGAATATATAGGTGATCTCTTTGTAGCATCAATCCTTATTAACTGCCTGGCAGATGACAAATATAACTTCTGCAAGAACAAAAAAGAAAAAAGAAAAAAAACAATGAATAAATTGTCCTTCTATACCATATTTAATAAACACAGTGAAGCGGTGGTCGTATTTGAAATTGATAAATGTTTATGCAGACCTTGAACCACCTGCTAGTGAGAGAAGACTTAAAAGCTAATATAAGACAACAACTTTGAACTTCTGGCAAAAATGCGTAAAATGTATCATATTGCGTGTTACCTGTGTCACAAAGTAGATGACACACAATGGGAGTAAGACTACAGCAAAGATAGGCGTACTGTACATGATAACAACGATCACTGCAATAACCTGGGCACCTGCCGCCAATATGGTGTCTACTGTGAACGGAAGGTTAATGTCCACAGTCTCCATGTCCTTGGAAAAACGATTCATAATGCGACCTGTATCAGAATCGAAACGGCAAATTTATCAGAATGCCAATGTGTACATGTACTATTACAAGGTAAATATATCAATTTACATTTTCACGAAGTACATTTCATGCCTTAAACATTTGAAATCCTTTTTGCACATGTTAAACAATCACAAATAGTTTGAATAAATCATACTGTGTGTAAGTTCTTTAGGAGATGGAAAACATTTGTTTGGATTTCTCGTGTAAAAAATGAAAATTTAAAGCAGGGCACAAATAGACACAGGCCATCTGCCAACATCTCGTCCTCTTAAAAAGAGCTACCTAGTATTTTACATGTTGAACGCCCATGTACGTGTATGGTAAAGATTAGGATTCAAACTTGATAAGATGTAATCTGAACTGGCCATTTACATTAAAAGAACAACCTCAACCAAACGCTAATGTACCTAGAGGTGTGGTGTCAAAGAAAGACATTGGTGCCCGCATGATTCTCTCCAGGAAAGACTTGTGTATGGTGCCTGAAGCAATCACACATCCAAAAGCGATCCCAAAATACTGCACGACGATAAATGACACTGGAATGAAAACATGGGCCTTTGATGAGTGTACTAGTATTCATAGGAATATCTAAGTGATTATTCCCTCGCAATGCCTAAAAGGTAAGAAACTAACGTGCAGGTGGATAGAATATTTGGACACATTTAGCAAAATATTGTGCTATTGGTACTGTTCAGTGAAATTGAAATGTACATTTTTCATTTGATTAATAATGAACTCTCTTAAATCACCCATGCATCTCGATATGAGTCTCAATTGTCAGACAAAACTGACTAAACTATCTTAATTACTTACATTTTTCTGTACTCCGACGTCATTCAATTGTCTAAACAAAAATAATGAGCAAAGGTATGGCAACATGTAACGTACCCTGTCCCGCCCCTAGTCCTCCATATACACCTAGCCTGAGATCAGTAAGTTGTTGGGTGCCGTTAACGACTTGGTCATTGCTCCACAAGTTCAGCCAGATATTAGCACCAATCAGACAAGATACAAAGCCAATGTATCCGATTGTTACCAAGATGATGGTCCTCAGTCCACTGGCGCGAATATAACTCAGCATGTGAGTGTATTTTACCTAGGAAATTAAGAGTGAGCACATTTACAGGCTGTGCATACTTACATTGCGTTTAAAGTGTTCAAGGAAAGACTGGATACTAGGGGACGTGAATAATCATTACATAAATCACATGCACTATACTTCATAGTTTATGGATTAGTAGCCGGAGAGGCAAACACGCCTGTAAAGCAACAATAGCGACTTCAAGAAAGCCTCTGATATCCTGCACAATTAAGCTTCTACAGTACTTGACAGATACTTCATGCAGTGCGCTTTTGGTAGAATACACTTTTAGGAGAATAAAATGTGTATTAACTTGTACATAAAATGTATGCATTCTCTACAGGACTTGTATACGAACTTGCTCCTTCCCCATTTTCCTCACAACTGAAGGGTGAAAAACATACCGTTCCTCTTTCAGCATACTCCTCCTCAACCAGCTGCTGCCCCATCTTCTTAACCTCATGCGCATGCGTTGATTCTCCGAACGAGGTCTGCCTGCTGGTCTGCCTGCTGGTTGGTCTACAATATGACATCAGAAAATCGTTGAGACTGACCAAAGAGGGAACTACTCCGTAGGTCTGAATTACAGGTGAATTTTTTTATCAGCATCTTACCAATCGACAGGGAATTATGATTTTTCGTTGTAAGATAAACAATAATTTAGCCAATCAATATATAAAATATACAATATTGGGAAATGTAATACTGAGTAAAATGTACTCATACCTATTGCAATACACGGTATACCAGTGTTAAGAAGTTGTCATTTGCCACTTATTCTTGGCATTTTGCGTCTGTACATTACATTTTTCACTTACCTCTCCCGCTTTCTAACATGATGCTCCTGTTCGTGTTCGCTTTCCGAACCAGATAGTACTGATATCTGTCGCCTCAACTGGGATCTCAAATCTGCACAATTATTAACATGTCAAATGAGAATTCATTTTGTGTGAACAGCCTCTCTCTTTCTCTCGTGTGTGCGCGTTTGTGTGTAACAAAACATTTTACAAACTAATAACGAAAAATTGAAATAACTTTTAAAGAGAGATCTTATTTCAAAACGAAGCCATTGGCATCGTCATCACATGTTGGGACTGAATTGAATATAAACATGTCTATGTCCACAGAGCTAGACTTTGGCCTAAAACACATTGTTGCCATGCTCGCGCTATGAATAGGCAGACTCGGTCTGAGTCTCGACCGCCCCGCCCCCCTCCCTCCCCCAAAAAATAGGCAATAATGGAAATGAAATCAACTGAGAAAGAAATAAATTTTAAAAAATCAAACGTATATTAAAATTACTTGGCACTTACCCTCTTCTTCCTCACTTTCACTCTCAGAGTCTTTCTCGTTTAAGTAGCTTTTTATAAATTCAGCAAATGCGCCATTATGACTTAACAGTTCTTGGTAAGTGCCTATCTCTGATATCACACCCTTGTTCAATACTATGATGGCGTCCACCTTTGGCAAGAAGCTGATGCCGTTTGTGGTCAGAACTCTCGTCTGAAAAGAATGCGATGACACTGTGATTCTTGGAACCTCTTCATGCTATTGACATTTCCACGATTACAAAGAATTTTATGTGAAAAACTTACTTAATTTAGAGAATAATTTCATAAGCTGTGTTATGTTATAAGAATGAAGTAATTTTTTCTCCAGTCAACAGCTTAATAGTAAAAAACTTGTTTAGTGAATTTAAGATCAAATAGTAAAACACAGAAGTGATTATATGCCCGAAGTACCTTGTCTTTCAATACCCCTTCTGGTCCAATCACTTGGTCAAAGATGTGTTTTCCAACATGGCTGTCTACTGCGCTAAGAGGGTCGTCCATGAGGTACACGTCACAATCCTGGTACACCGCTCTGGCCAAACCTACTCGCTGCTTCTGACCACCGCTTAAGTTTACACCCTAAAGAGCACGGAATGTTTTCAACATTAAAGATATCATAAAGATTAAGGATATTTCCGGTATTGCACGTGCACTTCAGCAATTAATCCCTACGTTGAAAACTGAGGATACCCTGAATAACAACCCACGATGTGTTTGATCTTTAGATTTAATGTGTTTATTTCGACTGGAAAAGCGGAAATTAGGGGCCAAATTTGCAGCAATTTAAAGCGAAATTTCTGCCATACTTCAAAGCTATTTTCCACGTTAAGTACTTACCTCATGCAAACGATTTATTAACAACCTTGTACCTGTAAAAACAACAAAATATAAGAACCACACCTTCTCTCCTATTTCTGTTTGGTCTCCGGCCGGGAGGACTTTTAAATCATGCTCCAGTGCGCAAGTGCGAACACACTTCCTATAGATGGACTGGTTCCACTGTTTTCCAAAGAGGATATTTTCTTTGACAGTTTTGTTTTGTATCCATGCTTGCTGTGGAACATAGGCCACCGAACCCTGAAATCATAACCATACCAGTAAGAGCTTGTTAAGACCTGTGTGGAAATTTCACCTTATATTATGGGGGTACAGTACTTTCTAAACCACTTTTGCAAAAACAAAAATAAAACGAACATGCTTGTTTGTACATGCAAAAGGTACAAATGTTCAGCGCTGTGACAGTGAATGAAAAAAAAAAGTATCAAAATACGACCACTATATTTAACTAAAGGAAACACTACTTAGGGAATCAAGTGTTTAACATTGCTTATCCTTACCTTAACATTAATGTTTCCAGATAAACACTCCATGTCTCCTAGCAGAGCATTGAGAAGGGATGACTTCCCACTTCCAACCTGGCCCACCACAGCCACCAGAGACCCAGGGGGAATGTCGAAGTTCAATCTGGAATTACAAAAATAGATTGATATATCAAATCGTAGTTAGGGGCTTACACGTACACACAACACATGAAACAACACAACAAATGTGTCATTCAATTATATATTTGTCTTAATTACCTCTTTATCAATGCATTTATTTATTTATTTATTTATTTATTTATTTATTTATTTATTTATTGTAACATACTGTTTGAGAACCGATGCTTCATCTTTATCCCAGGTAAAAGTAGCATCTGTCATAGACACGGTCCCATCTAAATAAGAAAAAACAAATGTATCAGACTATGTACGTAAGATTGAGAGGATTTATAAAAGTTAGAAACTGTGTATTTTTAATCACAGACGACTTACACAACTTAAATCTCTCCACTGTTAAGAAACACATGGATATGTAAGATGAAATATTAGGTTTCTTACTAGCTGAGGTTTTTCTATCGATTGCGTTCGTATCCAGTTCTTCACCTTTAAGGAATCTGTTTATTCTTCCGATAGAAACGCCAGCCTAAAAGATGATATAATATATTTTAATTATCCTCATCATCATTAACTCGGCCTCTTTGTCAACTAAATATACATTCATGAAATTGGCCTCTTTAACGCCTCCACATAATAGAGGTATATCCATAGAGAGTTAAAACAGAGCCCAAAATGGGCAGACATTGACAGAAGCTCACAAAGACAAATATGCATTGCCTGTGGGCCATCGTAATCTAGGATTCACCAATTGAAATCTACTGGTAGAGACAGGCAGGCAATGTTTTTCAGAATGTCAAACTATTGTAATATCGATGCCAAAAAGACCAACTTACTTTTTGTTTATATACAGTAAAATTAAACAGTGTAATTAAAAGATCTTAAAAGTTTACCTGAACCAAGGACATAAGAGAAAGTGGAAAAACCGCCACATAACTGTTGACGATGGTGAATAGGGACAAAGACACAAACGCTCTGTTGGGGTCAAGAACGTTGTTGGGATCTGAGAGAACAAAGGTTGCAAAACTGGCCAACGCCATCTGAAAGCATTGCCAAAGGTTATTCTAAGTTAATATATAGTGCGAACGTACTACACGTGTACGTTGGCATGCCTGTAAATATGTGCATAAAGTTTAATAGGCATTTTTTTCATTCCTTGAAGCCATACTTCTGTGCGTTAACGTATTTTAAGCCCATATAGATATTATTCATTTCACGTTATCCTATATATCCTATATATACGATACGCAAAAATAAATGGGTTTATTGTGCTATTTCGGGCTTACTTCGTTATGTTCGTCATACTCACCAGTAATGGAGCACAGAACCAAATAAGGGCAGACGCAGCGTTTGCAATCTGTACTTTCTGTAGTGAACTAAGTTCAGTGTCACGGATCCCAGTAACTTTCCTTTGAAATGACTCTTCCCACGCGTACAACTTCAAAATCTATTATAATAAATCTAATTATTCATAAGGTTTAATAGAATACATTCAATGTGTATAAAAGTTTCCTTATAATATTTAAACCTGCAAGCTAAATGCATAAATGCCTCTTATTACAAACGTTTGTAACAAAGAATACAACTGTTCTGCTAAATTCATTTATTATTAAGTTTACCTTTATAGCATTTAAAACTTCATTGAGAACTTTCAATCTTTTGTCTTTCTGAGCCATCTGTCGAACCTGAAAAAGTACATCCTTTAGAAAATGCAAGAAACTCACTGCTATGTTGCAAGTTTGACCTCCCTTTGCAAAAACTCTGATGTTAAAAGGTCAGGTAATCTTTTAAATATTCCATTACAGTATATAATTTCACTGTATATATATATATATATATATATATATATATATATATATATATATATATATATATGCAAGTAAGTTTTACTTCGCATATTCATAGACATTTTCATAGACAGTTTGTGGAATTCTTTATCTGCATGTTTATAATTTTTCATGATCTGCAAGTCGCTTGAAAAGGCATTTTAATGAAGTGAAAATCATATAGAAAACATGGATATAATATGTCTATGAAATGTGCAACAGGCAAAAGTACTGAGGATTCAACGAACTTGGTTCGCTCTTATCTGTATCCCACAATAGGCATTGGCCGGTAGCAGAAGTATGATGACCGCTAGACCCGCCAATGATGCCGGTCCTAGATATTGCCATAGCAGTACCAGTGCCACAACGATGCCTGCAGTGGATGACCAGACCATATGGAAGAAGATAGTCGCGTCCTGCATCTTCTGTGCGTCTACTGACATTAAGTTAACAATCTCCCCCACTGTTGATTTCTTCCTTGCAGCGCTACTTAACTTCAATGACTTGAGAAAAAAAATATGGGTAAGGTGCTACATATCAATATTGCAAAAAGTCGCTACTAACTACAGGGGGTAGATAAGATAATGCAGTTACATTTAATGTGGTTTTATATGCCTTAATGGTACAGAGATAATTTACTGTACTTGTATGTCATGATATTCATATTTTGAAACATACTCTGTAAACCATGTGATCAGCTGGATGAAAATAGCATTGTATAATTTGGTATATGATTGGTATATGGTGTATGGTATAATTTGGTATGTGATTGGTATAGTTTGGTATATGATATACACCAGCTTTCCAAATACCCACAGCACCGTCTTTACCATTCTCAACATAGTAAAAGAGACATTACGAGACACACCTTCCTATATACAGTTGCTATTATAGCCGTGCGAATCCTTAATCCAACTCTCAAGCAAATTCGTCTGTAGCTCTGGTTGATCAGGGAACGAAGCATACTGGCTGAAAACATTACCACGGCCAACAAGTAACCCCGCCACGTGAGCGGGTCGCCAGTTTCTACAAAGGTAATTATCAGGCTGAAAGGGAAAACGTAGTTTGATCATATATATATATATATATATATATATATATATATATATATATATATATATCTTTGACAACTTATTATAAGGCAACTGTCATTATTTAGTTATTCATCACATAAAATTAAAAGCACCTGTTTTAGTTTGCAGCGTGGGATTTTAAAACATAATAATCAATGTAGCAAAATGATCCGCCGAGATTAAAATATCACTTTACATATACTTTCATATTTGGCTCTTCGGTCCTCCTTTTGCTTTTATTTCAAGACAACAACAACAAATATAATAATAATAATAATAATAATAATAATAATAATGCATGCGCTTGTGGTAGGAAAATCGATTTAGACTATTTTCTTACTTTAACAGCATTGGATTGACGAATGTAACAGCATCAAAAGTCAGACGAAGCAGTGCGGCAATAGCGTAGTAAGGTCCGAATGTTCGTAGTAGAGCCTTTAGTAAGCTTGGTTCTCCACGCCCCGGAACATGTGCTGACTCCAATGTCACACTATCTGTTCGAGTCGTCTTGGCAGATTGGTTTTCGTTATTCATCTGGTGGTACTTTTGGTGCCCATTGGGAATACTGCCATAGGTCTGACTTGCAGTGAAACGAACGGCTGAAACACTAAGAAATAATGCACATATAACACAAGGAATTTAATACATTTGTATTGAAAACGCATATGCCTATGGAAAAAAAACAGTTCTGAATTACAGACGGACGATTCTCAATCGGTTAAGACTTGCCTATGAAGAGGACATCTGCGTACCTCAATTTCTCCTTCTCCTTTCCCCATTCTCTGAGAAACTTTGGAAGAATGACGTCACATGAGTCTTCAGGAAGCAGTCTGTACATATCAGCAAACACCAGAGTCTGCTTGTATCCCTTCACTATAAGTCTGAGATCATATCAAATGCCAAGTATATATTAAGACAATCAGTTAATGAAATTCAGTCTTTCGTAGACAAGCTTGCACAAGCACATAAATATAAATTTATACGCGTAATCATATAAAATAACAAATTACGAAACTATAATAAGTTCTGTACATCAATGCAACCTCTAACTCTATTGAAATTTGAATATTGAAAAGTTTTGAATAATCCGATTGTCAAACTTTGAAATGATAAAATATATAGATCTTATAATACATGTAGCTTTGACTGACTTTGTTATCCACCAGTATGATATTCTAGATAAAAAGGACGCCCTTCTCTCTGGTGTCATTTCCTGAAATGAAAATATAATCTCAATCTTAAAAACGAATTCAGTTTTCTCCCCTGAATCATTCACTCAAACTTTAAACCTACGTCGCCATGTACAAATGCCACGTACGCCTTCGAAGTACGGCAATAACTGATTGCTAACGTTATTAAAATACTACATGTACAAAGAAAAGCCGATTATTAGAAAGTTAGAAATAAAATGTGTCTTTTGAAATTTAGTATCAATTAAGCGCTGTATCTCTGACAGCCAAGGAATTTGTCTATGTCCATACCCAGTTATCATTTGATTCCTCTGAGGATTTAGTTTTTGCCAGAATGGGTTGTTTTTCAGACCACGCTCCCCTGTCAGTTGTGCTTTCTGGCAGCGCTTTGGGATCCCCGAACAGGTGTAAAATGAACTCAAGGACGATGCAGGTGTAATGAACGCAGAATGTCACCACGCGGAACATGCTCTCAAGATCCTAAAATGAGATATGTCATTCGTTTTGGCGGTTTATGAAATATTGCTCCGGTTATACTAGGGGTGAAAACAGAAGCAAACGTGCACCATGCAGATTCAACCGTTTTAATTTTTCTACTGGCAAACCAAGAGTGGTCATGCTTTCGTAATATCTTTGGGTTGACGTCTTTATCGTCTTTGTCGTTTACATAAAATGCTATGTGAACACTCACCTGAGTTTGCACCTGCATTATTTTAGATCTTAGTGACACACCCCCTAGTAGGAGAAGTATGGACCAGAAGATGAACAACATGGCTGAGGACACCTCGCCTTTCTTAAACTCGTACGTGATCAGAAACGATGACATTCCCTGAAATTAAGACTGTTTGTGAGCAGCCCTAGTGGATAATAAAGTGAAAAGTGACGGATATTATCATAGACAAATGCCTGTTGTGACCGCCATTAAAACGTGCAACGGGAATTCATTCAGTCGCACGAAACTCTAAAAAAGTTTCTTAAAGGACCTTCCAAGAGTTATAGGTTCTATTATAGGTAGAATATGCTATATAATATGCTATGAGCAAGTGGACTTACAAATGTGATAGCGTATATGGCAGGTGCAATGAAGGCGGATGGTGGTGTGTGATGTGTTGGTATCTCACTGAATGATTTTAACAAATCCAAAATGGACGTCAAGATTAACAAAATGCTGAAAAACTGAAAGATAATGTAAATGTACGTTAAAGGCTTGCAAATCTGTAATATTGAATATAGAATACATAAAACATTAAATACATAAAGTATTCACTAATTGATATTTAAAGACTGGAGAAATATTCATGATTTTACGGGTCTAGATGTATCTTTTTTCTTGTGCACTTTCGCGAATAGTGCAAATGTTAAGGGGCAAATGTTTTTTTTCGAAAAGCTTTACTTTTAAGTGAAGAAAATTCCTCCTTTTTTTTGTTTTCTAAATAGGAATAAAGAGGACACATGGCCCCTATTTGATAATGGAATAAATAATAATTAAACAGCAAAAAATTGAAAAAAGTATGAAACATCTTATTTTTCTCTTCTATTTTTTTCTTTGTACTGACCGTTTTAGCAAAGTTCAGTTTCCCGGCGTCGCGTATCCTGTGCACGGTGGGTTTAGATGATAAAACTGGGATGAAAAAGAGGGCAAACAACCAGAAAATCCCACAGGACACCCACACAAACACTGTGTCCTGGAAACATTGTGTGACGTCAGGATTACTGGTGTTCACTGTCAGACTCCAACTCTGTAAAGAGACAACAAATAGCACTTGTGTCGTCATTTGTTAAAATGTGGCGTCAAAGTTACGACATCGGTATTTTACGGCATATTTTTAATTGTCCGAATTGTGCACAGCATCTGGTTTACTTCATGTACTGGAGAAAACATACCGTAAAATGGTTCACTGGGAACATGCATTATTTGCACAAGCGAATTTAGAGAGACCGATTATCAGTGACAATTAATGGAACATGCAGAGATGCACTGGGTTCTTACCCAAAACGCTGCGTATCTTGAACCGTTTCCACAGAGGGCAGGCCAGTAAATGTCCCCCATGTTGGTTAGTCTCGTCTCCTTTTTATGATGTCTTTTCCAATTTCTGATGTGTCAGCAACGACTTGTTTGGTATTACTACACGTTTATCAGTTTTCCGTATATTACTGCAAGCTTTATGCTATCTGAAATTGGCTTAACCGACTTTCCACGCCGTCTTATCATCAAGTGTGAGTGACTGGGGAAAGGGACATCATATATATGTTTAGACATGCACCCTGTTGACCTACAGCGTGTGATCGTGATTTCACAATTATGAGCAATCATGTAAATACTAGAACGATGCTGGACCAATGGTCTATATTATAATGAGTAAGATGTAGATTGCAGTCGTAATAAATATTTTTAAACTGTGAGCAACCCCCCCTTAAATATTCTTGTGTGATTTATGATAAGAGAACAAACCCTTCACTGACAAAACCTTCAATTTCAAATAATTATATACTAGTTTTAAACACTTTTCTTGCCATTTTCACTTCAACTCTGCACTCAGCTGGGAAATAAGCCAGCTTTATTTTAATTGATAAATAAATTTATATTTCTAAATCTTTGTGTTTATTAATTTGTTCAACTGACAACGTTGGTTTATTAGCTTAAAATTCATATTTGTAAAACCTGTATGATAATGATTACGATTCGCCCGCTCTCAGGTGATGACATCACCTTTTATTGCATATCGCACCTCTCTCACCTCAGGAACCAAGTTTGCGCAAGTGCAGAAGAGTGATTTTAGTTAGACTATGCGTTCTTGTTGCCCTTCACCCCCTCCCCTCACTCCACCACCAACAGCACAACCACGACTACGAAAAATGAAACGCTGATCATTATCACCAATATCACCAATAATTCAAAATGCCTGAAAAATCGGACGGTTACTTGGTTATTGTGAAAATTCAAGATCTCTTGTAAAATTAAAAGATGCATGTAAAGCGTTTCAGGTGGTATATCTCCTGGATAGCCTCATTTCCTGATTAAGATGCTCCAGACAGACATCGAATGGTCGAAGGTTAACAATTTCAACATTTGCTGTTGATTGAAAAAAAAATTACTTTATACCTTCAAATGCTAGTTTGTAGGAATTCATATTCTACAACACGCCAACGGCGTCTGGGTAACCTAGTTCTACAACGAGGCGCAGACGTTCTCACCCCGTGCTGCTACACTCCCTTGTTCTCCTTATCATCCATGACCCCCGGAATATCACGCTGACTCAGGGGTGGCTATGCTGACTCAGGGGTGGCTTTGATCAACATTACTCAAAGAAAGCAAAGGCGATAAGATCAATCTTAACCTCAATGTCAACAAGTGTGTCAAGAGCTGTAGGCCTACTGCATGCAGTGGTAAAATGTACAGTGCCGCCGGAATCTAACCTTACTTAACATGCGGGTCCCTGCGGGTTGTTCATGCGGCCTGTTGCAGTAAACATGGATAAAACAATGTTCTACATGCGATGTTTGCTTTATTTTAATAATAGTACCCTGTCAGTGTTCCGTAGGGTAATTACTGTGTCTCTTACTTTCTGCTAACAAAAGAACCATCGCTGAGATACAGATCGAAGCTGAGCATGGTCGCAATTAAGTGATCGTCCAGGCGTTAATTAACCTCTTCATTGTGCCTTGGCTTCACTATACTTTTGTGCTCTGATACGGTGGTTTTAAGTATAAAAACTTGCCAACAACAATTTTAAAATCGACTTTCACAAAAAAGATTGGGTGATGAAAGCAACCTTCATGTAGCTATGCATTGGGAAAGTTTTCCAAAGGGTATCCCAGTAAAGTGGAGAGGCTGTCGGGCGGAGACGTTGGACAACTGGGGAGTGACTGTGCTCAAGCTTTCTAAATGAATGAGACCCTCTGTCATTTAGGATTGTAATGTAATGCTCTGACTACTTCCTCCATCTGAGAATAATTATCCGTCTTGGTTTGAATTCCAACTGATTTGCGAACCAGAGGGGGTGTCCGTGCATCTCCCAATATTATTCAGAAATTAAATAGCTTAATTTTGATGCAAAATATGTTTCTCTTTGGCCCCATTCAGAATGGATGATCCGAGTACTTACTGATCCGCCGACTAAATATGGCCGACCACAGTTCAAAAGCGATGCCGCTGATTCCTGATGGTCTCCCCGACTCCATACGCGCTTTTAAACGGATTAAATCTGTGCTCCGAGGTTAAATTGCTAGGCCCCTGCAGCAACGGCGCGTGTGAAAGCGGGGAGATAATTAACTTACAAAAAGAGTGAGGTTTTTACAGACGGTGGATGTACGTTAAAAATATATTTTGACTCCCAATTCATCCCCCGCCCTCAACGGATCTACGTTTGTTTATAATCACCAACATATATTTTACGTGATTCAGATACAATGTAGTTAAAATATCCTAATTAATATTCTAGTTTAAAATGTATTTAAATATACTATACTGTCGTACAAATGCAAAGTCGAGCGACTTTACGCCAATCACATGCATACAGGAAATATTGGCATAACCCTACGTACATGTAAAAGGTTATATTTATTGCCATGTGCACATCGAAATCAACCGAAATAATTTCAAAGCAGAACATAAGTAACATATCATCTAGCTTAAATTACAATTATAAATTATGCACTAGTTCGACCGAAATCGGGAAAAATTCGGTTTATTCGTTAAGTAGAATTTGTACATACATTTCACACATGCAGATGTAAGCAGTGGTGTTACAATATTGAACGTAAACTGATTTCGCATAAAGTATTTACAAATACAGTAAAAAGGAATATATAACAAATTGAAAATACATATAGTAGTACGAGCAACCCTAACGATGGCTCTTAAAACACGTAAAAATATCCTAACAATTTCACATAAATGCACTGATCTTCGTTGAAGTGGAATGTTAATTTGCGTCAAAAGTATATGTCTTTAAATCACTTTTGTCACACTTAAAATGTACATGAAATCAATGTAGACTGTTCATATTCACCTTAAAATTTAACATAAGTTTTTTTTCTTTTTGATTATTATCTTAGCATGGCTAGGCCGTACTGTGTTCATAAACCATAGCTAAAAATGCGGCAAATATATTTTAAGAAAATGTGCAAAGCAGATATTTATCCTAGCATCAAATATATAGTATGTTTATTCTACAAACATCCACTTCATAATCCAAGCTTTAGTCATTATTATAGTTTTTTGTTAATTCAATATAGTTTTTTTACCCCACGTTATTTCTACTTTTGCTCAAAAAAGATCGAACCAAATGTGCGTAGGCGTATATTTGCCTGGCAACATCATCATTGTTAATCATGTATCTGCAAGTATACTAGTTAAAAGTCACATTATTAAAAAGTGGCATCAGTCTCGTAGACAGCAATTCCTGTGAGCAGTATAACACCACTGAACATGCCGACAGCTTGCAGGAGCAGAACTAAAAGCTCTCTCTTCAGTGTAGCCGCCTTAAAGTGGGTGAGCTCGGGGAGCTGGAAGTTGAAAAAAAGAAAAAAAAAGAGGCACAAATAACGCCACGACACCTTTCAAGTTAGCATGAAATAAAAAAGCTAAATACCACAATGCCAAATTAGTTCACATGAAGAAAGCCTTGTGATAAGGTCGAAACTTAGGGATCTTCGTTTCAACATTAGAAAAGGTATTCGATTTAATTTCTCATATCTTATTAAATACGTTTGATTCTAAGAGGTTAAAAATACTGCTTACACGCAAGCAGAAATCCTTTATCAAATCGCACATGCGGCTACCCCAGTACTTGAGCACAACTAGAATTCTCCTCACATTATTTCTAGTGTTATTAAAACGGTTTTAGTCCAAGGTATTATCCCCATGGACAAACAAACAAACACACACACACACACACACACACACATATATACACTTACCATATCCACCAAGGCTATATACAAAAAGTTTCCTCCAGCCAATGCAAAGATCCACATGGTAGCGGAGGGGGCCTGCCCCGCAAACACGCCGATCACCATGCCTATAAAGGCCAGCACAGAGGCGATCAGATTGTAAAACATGGCCTGGCGCACAGACATCCCGGCACGAAGGCACATGGCAAAGTCACCTGGAAAATTAAAAACACCGGGAAAATGTAGTCATTTGAAGCTCTATAAAGCCTGGTGTATATATAGCAAAAATAAATAATTAAGTACAGTTTAAGACACATAACGTTTATTATGCCGTGTATGGGTCATTTAAAATTTTTACTAGGCATGAAGCAGAAGAGAAACCAAATTTACTTTGTTTCATTTGCGTCGAACTTTGTTACTCAATGTGAAATGTGAATAACTAAAGTCTTTTTACAAACGCCCATTGCCACTGACTTCAATAGGACTGAAACTGAAGTCTCATGCCGTAAACTTAATGAGAAAATCATTATAATGGGAAACGAGCAGATTTACCAAGTTCATGGGGAAGCTCGTGCCACACAATTGCGATAGATGTGCTCAGTCCCCCTGTCACACTCTGTGAAAAAGCAGCACCTGTAAGATAATGTAATATGTAATTTTTTTCTTGTTAAGGTTTCAACTATTTCAGCTATTAGCGGTGATACCTGAAAAGGCGAAGTGAATGTACTGACAAGAAAATACACTGCACTGTGCGCGAGTTCGCACCTGGACTGCATTTCATAAATGATAAAGCAAATTAAAATAAAGATGAGAAAAAAATATTTGTTGAAATCAAACAAAATGAATAAAATGAATGATAAACAATTGAAAATCACTTAAACCTAGTCAAAGTAACAAAAATGTATATAAATTCGTTTACCAATTGCTATTCCGTCACAGAAATTGTGTATCATATCTCCCATTATAACGATCCATGCCATAGATCCGATCATTCCTCCCTCAGCCCCGGCTCCGTGACTATGTCCGTGACCATGACCTTGAACTATGACCTCGACTGAAGGGTGTTTACCATTAGCTTGACTAATGTTCCCATTTTTACGACTGCCTTTTTCACTGTCAGTTGAAGATGAAGACTTAAGACGACGACGCTCCTCGTCGTCCACACCTCCACTTTTCTCGGCTTCTTCCCCGTGTTGGAGTTTGTCTAGCAGGTCGACAATATCTGCAAAGTTGATATAACCAATGCTGTAATACTGCCAAAGTAAACCAGCGAATTTGGACGTTCTAAGGTTCGGTGGACAAAGTGCAAAAATGGCTTAGAAGAAAACTTAAGGAGAATAACATTAAAACCCGTTTGTCGCACATATATGTTGGTGTAATGCTCTCGAATCTGTCACGTTCTACCTATCATAAAGAACAATTGTCTCCTCTGCAATTATCAAAACGAAAAAGCTTCAAGTACTGAAGTGTTCTTCAAGTGAAGATCTTTGAATGAGAAAATCAAAATCAATATCCATCTCAACTCGCGCATCTTTTGATGACAAACAGCGTAAGACCTACCTCCACCGCCACTGTTGACCATCCGAATCACGTGTTCGGAGGGTCCGATATTTGTTCCCTCCTCCTCCATCTCCTCGTCAGACAGATCTGCCTTTTCATTTTCTTTTTGTGCGTCTAATTTCAGCTTCTTATTTTTCTGGAGTTAAATTTGAAGATATCACTTTTTATTTTTCTGGTTACGTGTATATGTTTAATTATTTCTTGTTGCCTAAATAAAAATAAAGAATCTGTTTAAAAAATGATAATTTATTGTAAATATATTCGGGGTCAAAATAATCCGAGCCTGCGCGTTTTCACATATTCGTGAATATTGCACGTATAAGCATCATAACTGAAGATTCACAAAATAATCTTAGATCAATTTGAAATTTACCTTTCTGGCGGCATTCCTCTCAGAGAATATTGTCATAACTCTCTCCAACATGTAGAAGAAAAATATGCTGACCAAAGCCAAGGCACCTTTGAAAGTGGGATTAAGTCTGTAGTCATGGGGAAGTTGACACGTGCCTACTGTGTCCATGCCCTGCGCCGACCCAGCTATTATGCCATATGCCTGAAACAGTTTTCATTCTAACAGTGCAAAATGCAAAATAACAAATGTAATCCAACGTCGTGAAAAGCAATAATGAAATACAATAGAGTACAACAATATGTCCTTGTACTGCATAGTATACATGCACACAAGACCACAATGTTTTAAAATTGTACTCAAACGGACTCTTGTGAATTTGAACTTCCATGAAACTTCTCTTAAATAACCACGAAAAGTTGCGCTCAAATCCTTACGTCGGGTAGCAAATGCAACATGGCGTCCCCACTCAGAGTGCCGACAGCTGTGGCTATGAGGCATTGCATCATGTACTTGTAGATCGTCTTGTTGAGCAGGGGTACCATGGCGATGCAGGCAAGTCCAATCGCACTGTTGATAAACACGGCCAGGCAGGAGAAGCCCCAAACTGGAAAGTTGATATTCAGCATCAATAGTGAATCTTTCTGAAGTTTGTGTCATCAAAAGAAATTTGTTGTGTGTAAGAAAGTGGAAGGTGGATATAGATAAATAAAAAAGATAACAGTGAATCGAGTCTGAAATGTGCGTCGTCAAAAGATATTTAATGTGTATAATTATTAGAAATTATTTGAGATACGTGTGATGTACTGTCACAACGTGCCGTTACTCTGAATGAAAGAATGGTAGCCCACCAATTTATGTGTCTGTTATAAAAGGAAAGTAGAATCCAGATTTTATTTTATAACATACACACTGAAAAACTAAGCAACTCACTTTTTGCAGTTGCGTGTGGGTCGCCATGGTATCCGGATTTCGGGGATTCGGTAGAATTTTCCTGTGAAAAATAAGGATAACAGTTGGATGTCAAAAAATGACCTTCAGCAGTGCTCGTCAACTGTTTACATACTCTCATAAAATCAGCGATACACACACAAAAAAGGAAGGTTCGAGATTAAATGTACAGTTGCTTATACTTGTAACGGGCACTTATATTTGTTACCAGAGTATTGATACAGCTGCTTAGTTTTAGTTTTAGTCCCAGCGGCGATGGAGAATACCTTTGAATAATATTTTATTTTATTTTATTTTATTTTTATTTTATTCGCACAGTTCCACATCTCGTGGTGAACACCTCTATCTGATAAGAAAACAATAAGAAAATGTTCATTTGGTATTACACTATGCCCCAAAGAAGGTATCATGAAAATACAGCATCTTAACCCACCTTTGAGACCGTATCTTTCGATAGAGTCACATTTAGAATCTCCCCAGTGTTCTGATAGGAGTAACTCTCGGATGCCGCTGCACCCGCCACGGGGAAACACACGAGGAGGATGGCACCAAGAACAACTAGAGAAGAACCCATGATGAATCGGCGGTTGCGGAATCTGAAACAAAAAAACTGCCTTGGTGGTGATCACCATCATGATACAACTAGTCGAGGAAAATTAAGGCGAAAGGCAACAAGAAAGCAAAGAAAATTAACTGTTGGTCTATATATACCGACTATCAACATCCAAAAACACAATGGAGGTTGATTCAAGCTGAATCAAATGCTCGACATATAATCTAGAGCTCGTTTGATCTATGTCAAAGGGATACTAAGGATTACAAGCGTTTAGAAATTAGATATTGGTTGAAACGTGGCAACCGAGATGTCCGATTCATAGCAAGACAACACTGAACTTCACTGTACAAGCCACATTAACCTAGATCTTACATGTACATATATATATCAAATAACACACTTACACAATTTCTGTCGGCCTAGATTTGCAATTATGGATTGCGTAGCACAAAAATTCAATTTTTCAAGAAAATTCAAAGCTCATTTCATTTAACAACGTCCAGAACTCGTGTATGATTGATATCAAAGCAATGTCAGAAACACTAATAAATGGATTGTTCCTCACAACCACCAATACTTACCATTTACTGTTCACAGTGCGCCACGACATATGTAACCAAACGGAACAAAACGCTTTGCATTGGGCCAATGACATCTAATTTCGAGCACACTATGGATGAATTTGATTCCAGAGAGCGGAATGTTCTCATTCAATGTATGACAAATAGTGCATACCATGTTTTATAGTTGTAATCCAAAACTATTGCCATTGACTTTATGAAAAAAGTTCGATTTGAATGGACTGCAAAGTCGAATGCGTCCCTCTAAAAAAGATATTTTTAAAGCCTAGATTACTTGTGCCATGCGATATGTCCGTAAGGTGCTCATGCGCTGCCCGTAAATACCATTTCGTGCGGTGTCACTGCGAAGGCAGGAGGTTGCTGTACAAAATCGTACGAAATCGTACAAATTTAAAACCTCCGTAGTCTCTTTAATATTGTCATGCTCAAACTTGAGCCAAAACTTTAAAGTCGTTAGCCTGAATGCTGTAGCATTATCGAAGATGACATCGCACAGTTCCCATTTATTTATTATTGAGTTGAACATTTGCATACCCTTCATCCTGTTGATGTTGAAATCGTTTATCTTGCTCTTAAAAACATTTCAAAGGCTGGGTCACGTTATCATTTTGAAGAATGTTCTGCAAAGATATGTAGGCCTATGTCAGTAGGATAGAATTCAAGGAGTGTGTGACCTAACTGCTTTAACTAAAGCAGGGAACTTTACAATAACAGGCCATGAGTGAGTTTTCTCGTATGGACAATAAAATCTTTCGAAAGTTATAATTTTTTAAAAAACAATTTTATAGAGGGCAGCATAATTTTCTATTTAATTATATCATTATACAGTGGTAGATTTTACCATTTTCTATTATTCAAGAAGATAAAATCAGTTATTTATTTATTTCATGCAGTTGTTATTTTTAGAAAAGTGGGTAGGAATAATGGAAAATCATGTCAACTAGACCATACACGGGACAAGAAACTAAGGGCACTCTTGTCACTCTTGTACTTCTATTTGATTACCGCTTTCTGTAGTTCTGCTGATGCTTCTGCAGCATTTTTTTCATATTTTGATAATTTTTCAAATAAAACTTTTATAAAATGAAACGCAAAGTCGTGTCATTTGCAGATACACTTTTAAATCAATATAAAATAAAATATTAAATGTTTTACTGACCGATAGCAAAGATCTTGAAGAGCCCTATCGTTTTGCGGTAAAACTATACATTAGAGTGATAGATAATCTCATTCTACCCGATTCAGGCCCTATGGACGCACGCCTGCTTCTTTATTTCCAACCCATTAACTGTGGCCGTTGTATACAAATATGAAACTGAAACAATTGGCACGCATCGGCTCTTAAACTAAGAGTTTCCCGCACTCACAAACTGATTGACATGCAAGTGTTTAACACTTAAAGCACACTGAACTTTACACATTATACTCTAAAAGCGTTCCGATGACTTAGGGATCATTCCCAATGAAACTTTCGTTCTACGTAGATCGATCAAACTCCGCGTAGACTCTCGCTTTATGCATTTAGGTTAGCAGATATCTATATTAACATGTTTCCCCCTAATCACAAGCTACTCTGGTCTCTACTCAACGCCAAGAGTTAATATAAATATCAATATGTTAATCTGATTGATGCACGCAGAACGATAGTTTCATTGTAAATGATTCCTAAGGCTGTATTCCCAGAGCTTTTAGATCGATCTATCCCCGCGGGGAGTCTCACTAGATTACTGTCAGATAATCCGGCTTAAATGTCCGTCCCGCCTACTACAAGCTGTAAGGGGGTAATTAACTTTAGTGTTCGCTCGGCTGACAGCTATTTAGCGTGAACCCCCTGGGAGTTAGGTCGATCTAAAGTAGATCGATCTAATCTCTGGAAATGGGGTCTTAGACACTGCTTAGGATATGGCAGTGTATCGGTAACTTTACCTTTGACTTATTTGCACTTCTTTAGCTTTCCCTCAAAGATACCGCGTGTAATCGGTCAAGGTCTATAATTCTCCTGCAATAATTTTAAGACGCACGCTTGGGTAGTCCGCTCCTTATAATTCTTATAACTTGATATTGAAGTTTAATATCTGCAGAATTTGGCACAACGTTTCAATACGTCTCTTTTGTCTGCACACAGTTAATTCAGAAGCACGACACGTGAACAATCAGATCGGAGTCCTCAAAATGTAAATGATTCCTCAGGTATTCAAAAAGTACAAACACTGCTTGCTGAGATCCTTTTAAACCTTAGAGGATACAGAAACGGCACGGGTTCCTCCGAAGATCTGTTTTTTTGTTCAGGCTTCCAACTGGATCCAGATCTGCCGGATGCGCAGTTAGTGAGTCCTGTACAAAAAGTGAGAGGTGGTCCCTTCTGTTTTATCTTCTCCGCTTTGCACGTGATTTACATTTCAGTGTGAGTATTGGGTGACATGTAGGCCTGTCAACATATCTTTATTTACCCCTGATGTCATGCTGGCGTTGCTGTGTTAAGGTCGCAAATGTAAAGAAACGCACCCTTCAAAGAGACTGTAAATACGATATGTTAAAGAATGTTATCTTATGTTTGTTAAAGTGGAATATAACATTTCATCTGTCTTCTGAACTCGTCTACGGTTTTATAGGCCTCGATGCCCCCTTTATCATTGTATTTGACAAAAAATCCTTCCACACATGCCATCTCTCGTTCTCTCTCTCCCTCTCACTCAGGCAAATACATTGATTTGCTGTGCTCATCAGAGAAACCCAGAAACGACGCTGAAAGCACCACAAATATATGTGATTGAATAAATAAATAAATAAATAAATAAATAAATAAATAAATAAATATATTATTTTAATAAATGATTTACAAATCAATAACTAAAGGCCTAAAACTGAAGACGCCCACATAGAAAATCTTCAAAAAGGTAGTATCCATTTAAAAGAAAAAAGTAACAAGGCAGCAAAGCTGTCAAATGTACAGACAA